AATGTTCTCGCGTTCCCATGAGACAAACACCAGCTGAACCCCAGGTCTCTGCCTACGGGGCCCTTGTTGAGAAAAACCTTTTCTGACACCCACTCTAGGACCCTCATATCCCCCGGCACCAAGCCGGATCTCTGACCCACCGAGAGCCAACCCGGCTTCCCTCTGGGAACAACGGGCCCGGGGCGGGCGGCGGGGGGGACTGGCTCTGGAGGGAGGAGCGTGCTCTGCAAAACGAGGCCAAGCAGTGGGCACTGAAGGCCATCTGGAATGACCGTCAGGAAGGGGGCCTCTGGGGGAGCCGGGGACAAAGGGAGGAACGGGCAGACACGAGGTGCTGAGGCGCCTTCGAGATGCAGGAGGCGGCGGGGCTCCACTCTGAAACGGGGGGGGGGGCGTGCACAGCGCGGGGAACCAGCCCTGCACCGAGCACGTGCGCCTTGAGCGACCGACCGGACAAAGGGAGCAGGATTTCGAGACCGGCCCTGCCCCCGGCCCATGCCCTTCCTCCTCGGAGGCAACTTCCTATCCCCGGACCCGGACCCGGGAGAGTCGGCGGGAGGCTGAGTCGGGCAGAGGAAATGACCAGGGCCGGAGGCTGTGGGGATGAAAAGGAAGCGTCCGGCGCGAGGGGGTTCTTCCTGCTGCGACCGCTTCGTGTGGGCGCCGAGTCCGTTTCTCCAGGTTCAAGTTGAGCGACGATGGATTCGATTTGACCTTTGCCAGCAGCTCCACTGACATCTCAGGAAATTCCATCCCCTACGATTTCAACACTTCCGCTCGGGAAGGGCAGCGTGTCGGTTTTCACCCTCCGCGTCCAGTGTCAAGGCCGTGCCGCCGTCCCTCTATGATGTTCTAATTTCTCTAGCAGGAGCTCTGCCTGCTCAGAATTTCTGGGAAATTACGTTTTGATGAGCAATCATTTCTGGGGAGGATCCTAAGATCGAAGCGACAGTATCTGGGTCTCTGACTCAATGTGGGGAGGTCACCTTCTACTTCACAGTGACAAATGCGTCCAGCTTGCCATTATCTCAGCCACAAGAAGTCACAGTATTTGAATTGACCAGCATATCCATCTTGGGATAAATGCAGGGAAGGCTTCCTCCATTAGCAACCAATCGCGTGAGAAGGGAAAAAAGAAACTGGGGAGGGCGTGGCTGTAATTTCTGCAGATGCTCCAAATTCATAGCATGTGCCTTCTTTTCAAAAATGATTCCTGTTTGTTTTCCTAGGAAGATCATGCGGAATGTCCTTTTGCACAAACGCCCTTTGTTCTTAGACGTTATCTAATGATTTGGCAAAGGAGTTCAGTAATTTATTGTCGGGAAAGTGCCACGAAGAAATTCACAACTCGAGCGTGGGGACCAGTTGTCCAGGGTGGCCGCTGGCCCCTCTGATAAAGCCCCGTTTGTCCTCCCAGATGAGACGGCTGGTTTGCCCCCAGCACAGCCCTGAGGTAGCCACCCACGGCTCACTTCTCAAACCCTCTAAGTACAAGTGTAAAAGTGCTCACCCCCCGCCCTGGCCAGTGTGGTTCAGTGGGTCGGGCAGCGTCCTGCAAACCAAAAGGTCGCAGGTTTGAGTCCCAGTCAGGGCACATGCCTGGGTTGCATATTTGGTCCCAAGTTAGAATGCATGCGAGATCGAGGTTTCTCTCTCACATCATTCTCTCCCTTTCCTCTTCCCTTCCCTTCTCTCTAAAAATGAATAAAATCTTTAAAAACAAAACCATGCCTACATTTCAACCCAAACTTCCTGATCTTCCCTCTTTACTGTGGTCCCAGGAAAGGCTCAAATTTCTCCCCTGCTAACACCGTCCCCTGGATCTATGGCAGAGGCGGCCGCACACCAAGGGTGCGCCTGCTCCCCGCCCCCGCACCCTCCCCATTCTGTCTGTCCACCTTCTGAGTTATTTATCTCCTGAAACGTGCCTGCTCCTCGGCCATGTTCAGAGCCCTTTTCCTCGGATTGGCCACAGGCAGACGCGTGGAGACATGTGAAGTCCCCAGAAACGGCCCGTGGCACCAGCGACAAGAACACCACCTCCCGGCTCCGGCCCTTGGCTGTGGGTAGAAATGAGGATTTCTGTTTCCAGACCCCATTCCTTAAGAGAAGCTAGAATCTGAATCTTGAGTACAGTCTCCTGATTTTAAACATTGCTTATGTTATTTAAATGCCGTTCTCTAGATTAAGGAATCCCTTTTTCTCTCCTTCCTCCTCGCTGGGCTTTAACACACAGTGCATGTGAGCTTTATCTGGTCCTTTAAAAACAAAAAACAGAACAGTCCCGGCTGGTGTGGCTCAGTGGACCGAGCACCGGCCCGCAAACCAAAGGGCCGCTTGATCGATTCCCGGTCGGGCACCTGCCTGGGCTGCAGGCCAGGTCCCCCATCGGGGGCGCCCGAGAGGCAACCACACGTTTCTCTCCTTCTCTTTCTCCCTCCCTTCCCCTCTCTCTAAAAATAAATAAAATCTTTAAAAAAAAAAAAAAGCCAATCCACAAGAAAGAAAACCCTTGACCCCGGGAGCTGCGGGGTGTGGAGGCGTCAAGTGCGGCTGATGCGCGGGGGCCCGTCTCCCTCCCCGTGGCCTCCCCGCCCGCCCTCTGCCCCGAGAGCGGCGGACGGCAGCCGGGCACGCAGGCAGCGGAGGCGTCGCGGGGGGAGCGCGCTGCCACGAAGCCATGTGCGAGGTCACTCAGTGTGTGGACCGAGACCGCAAGTTCACGGGGACGCGATGCGTCACAGTGGGTTTTCCCTCCACGAGCGCCGGGAGGATTAGGTTCCCTGAAGTTACTTCCTTGTTGCAAATGGCAGGCGACTGGGGAAGGTCAGCGTTCGCCACAGGAACAAAGAGGCCGGCTCCGGGGCCCGCGCACCGCAGAGCGGAGCGTAAGGTTAATCGAGCGAATAGCAAAACAAACGCTGTTCCAGTCCTGTGTGCTCAGGCATTTAGGGAAAAACGGAGTAACGTTAAGACGCCAAGACTCACTGAGGCAGGGCGGTCCGCTGTGGAGGAGTTCCTTAGGCTTTCCTCTTTCTGCCACACCCGAGGACCTAGAACAGCAGCTGCGGAATCCGCGTCCCCCGGCGAGGCGTCCGGCCCGGCCTCTCACGGGACGCCCGCGGGCAGCGCTCAGTGTCACACTCTCACCAGCCCTCTGATGCCTGGGAACGAACAGAGCGCTAACGTCCCCTTCCCCCGCGAAGGCGCGGCCCCTGTGGTCGGCCTCGGACGACGCCAGTCTCACCCACGTGGGCGCGGCTCGGCCTGGAGCGCTTCAGGAAGGGGCCCGCGGCTGCCGCCCGGGGCTACGGGCCTCGCTGGATTAAACACAGGCCTTTCACGAAAGATTTCTTCTTTGGAAGAACAGTTGTCTGTTGACGTAGTACATGAATTCTCAAAGGTCATGTGTCTGAGACTTTGTATTGTACGGACTTCATTGTTCTTAACTTACAGTCTGAACATGCCAGTGTTGTAACGGAGGTTTCTTATTTTGCCAAAGGCATAAATGTAAAACTGTAAACAATAAAAACAATTCAGGGTAAAAAAAAAAAAAATAGTTTCCCTTGTTCCCAACCATGAAGAAAGGTAACATGGTCTCTGGTGACCTGGCTGGGGAGGCTTGGTGGCCTGAGCACCAGCCTGCGGGCAGAAAGGTCGCGGGCCAGGTCCCCACTGGGGGCGTGCAGAGGCAACGGGTGGACGCATCTCTCCAGCACGCATCAATGTTTCTCCCCTGTCTCTAAAAATAAATAAATAAAAATCTTAAAAAAAGGGAAAACTGTTTCTTCTTACATACTCTCGGCAACATCCACGCAGCCCACTCAGGTGGCAGGTGCGACAGCCCTCGGGGACCCGCGAGCTTGACCCTGGATGACGCGGGTCCCAGGACTCGAGCTGTCCGACACCCCAGGCTCACTCGGCCAAGACGCAAGCCGTAGGTCTCCGGACAGAGGGGCGGGAACCCAGCCCCGCCTGGGGAGGGGAAGAAACCCAGCGGCAAACCCCTCCCCCGAGGCTGCGGGGCATCGCCTGCAACCCCAACATCCTCATACGGTGCCATTTTTTTCTCAGAATTCAAAGGAAGTTTAACATCCAAAATAATAAACTTTCCACATGTGACTAAGTATATCCCCCAAAATATGATATTGAGAGATACTGGGTATGTTGGGCAGAGTAGTGGTCCCCCCAAATGTCCACGCTCTCATTCCTGGGACCTGTGCCGGCGTCACAGGGCGCAGCCAGGGACTCGTGGCTGCGGATGGAACTGTGGCGGCCCCTCGGATGACTGAATCAGGGGGAGTGGCTGGCGTATCGGGCGGGCCCAATACAACCCCCAGGGGTCACATAAGGACAGAGAGGCAAGGAGTCCGAGGATCCTGGAAGGCGCCCCCGGCCAGCTGCGGAGACAGGCTGGGCCATCGCCCGGGAAAGGCCAGGGAAGGCGGGCGAGGCTGGAGAACAGGCTCTCACCCAGGACGCCTAGGAGGAACCAGCCTGGGAGACCCCCCTGGGCTTCCAACCCGCAGGCGGCAGGACAGCTACGCCCCGTTGTTAAACCACCAGGTTTGGGAAGTTTGCTAGAGCAGCGGCAGGAACTGTCGCTCTCTAGGGAACACATTTTCCCTCTTTGCCTCGCGTCCCTGTCCCTGAGGTTACACACGGTCCTTCCTGCCACGCCGCTCAGGTTTCAGCGACTCGAATGGCCTACAGCACACCCACCACCTGCCATTGCCGGCGTGAGGGCGGCGCACGCCCCGCTCCTCGCAGGCCACCCTGGCGCTGCGGAGCGCCGCCGCGTGGGACCCGGCAGACTTGCTGAGTCCGGGGAGGAAAGGACCGGGAGGCCATCTGGCAGGGCTCCCTTCAGGGCAGGGGCACGTGAAAGAGCACACGGCGACTGGACTGTCTTGCACCCCGGCTCCTGGTTCCTGGTCCCCAGAAGGGACCAGCGTGCGACCCTGGTCAGGGAAGCAAATCGTATCCACAACGCATCGAGTGTTTGTCTTGAAAATTTATTGACACGGACTCCCACAAGGGCGACGGTGAGAGATTCGCTCAGCGTGTTGCGTGGAGAGCCCGTGTGCGGTGTGAGCGACTCACTGCCGCCCAAGCCCCGGAGCCGCTCCGCGGGGCTGGAGGGCGCTCTGCCGCGGCTACAGGAACCTGATCCCAGCTCCAAACTGGACGCCGTCACATATCCTAGGAAGAGGGCGGGGAGTCAGTACTGGGGCCGGCCCTGCCGCCCCCCAACTCCTCCAGCGTGCACTTTGCGTCCTTCCTTGTTCTCCTCCGTCACCGCCTGGGTGCCCATCCCCCGGCCGCCTGCCCGCCTCCCTCGTGACTGGTCTCCAGGGACGGGGCTCAGTGAGACACCGGTGCTGGTGCGGTTGGATCCAGAGACTGCGGGGCCCCAAGCCCCTCCACACAAAATTTAGCAAACATTTCAAAACTGTTTCCATGTCTGTAAAGGTCCGCAGCCTCATCAGAGACGCCAGCACAGACGCCAGGGGCAAGCCCACGACTCGCACACGGGTAACTCATCCCTCAGCCTGCTAGTTGCCGAGTTTCAGAAATGAAGGTTAAATCCCGACAACACCACTCAAACGTCACAAAATTCTGATTCTGACGCCACAGGCGGTGTGAAGGCGGGTGCTGCGCTCCCGGGCCCCAGCGACTCCACGCGGGAGCCACTGTCCACAATCAGCATCTGCCGTGACCACATCAACACATCATGCACATGGCAGGCTTCGTCCTTCCGGAAGAAACCACACTGAAATTCTTCTCTGAAACATAATTCTCAAATTTAACCCAGAGAGAGAGGGAGCGCTGAAAGGTGAATTTGGCCGTTCTCTGTCAAGGTTATGTGAAAAACAGGCCAATCCACAGCTCCCAAAAGCAGCGATGTTGGCTTCTTGGAGCACAGTGACACCCAGTGGCCTTCAGCAACAAGAACAACGCAGCCTCCTGCCGGCAGCCCCTGCGGGGGCGCCTTTCAGCCTGGAGGACAGGGGCCCGGGCCGCTGGGCGTGCCCCAGGCTGCAGGCCAGGAGCCGCAGGGCAGGGGTTGGCGGCCACGCCTGCTGCCCCCACCGCCCCCGCCGCCCCCGCCAGCAGAGGAGGTGGCAGACACTTCCTGGAGCTGATCCTCATGTTGGAGAAACAGACAATAAAGCTACCGCTAAAGCTCACTTGCACTTCTTTGCAGTAAGACATTTATAATGTATTTCCTTGTACAGCTGGACTAGTACGAAACACTGCTAACACACACCGACTGCCCATCCTGGAAGCAGCCGGGAGCTTTCTGAGACAGGGAGCTAGTGCAGACGCGTGGGACACAGAGCTCTGCTGAGCAGGCGGCCAAGAAGAGAGGCAACTTTCCTCTCCCCCGCTGACAGAGGCCACGGTGCAGGACGGCCCGGCGTGGGGATACTGGCAATAGGCGCTCTCGCGCTACCGCCTCCGAAGAGCGGAGACGGTGGTGCGGGCGGTGCGGGCGGGGTTTCCTGCTGGCCATGTCTGGGGGCGGAGGGAAGTGATGCCTCGGCGTCAGCGGGGCCTGGCCCGGCCGCTGACCAGACGGTACGTGCTATGAGTCTCGGGCTCCCCTGTCAAGGCGTGGCCCCCTGCCGCACAGGGCACCCACGGGGCAGCCAGGACAGCGCAGGATCAAGGGCTCAGCTCAGCGTCTCACACGAGGCGAGCACCCGATAAACACCAATGACAGCCTCCCCCCCTGCACCTGGCAAGGCTCCCAGAAGAGACACAGAGCCGTCACACCCTCCCTGCTGCGGAGTGTGGCTGGGCCACAGCCTCGCCTCATGGGAACGCCAGCCAGCAGTGCAGGGTCCGAGGCCCCCCGCCCGCAGCCAGGGCGTCGCGCGACCTGCCTTGGCTGCGATCCACATTTGAGAGGCGGAGGCTCAGGTGGCTGCCACCGGCCTGTACCCTTGCTGCTCCCTGCAAAATGCACTCGGCAGCCGGCGGCCGCGGCAGGGAGACCCGTGTTCACACTTGCGGCAGGACTGAGGCCTTCAGAAAGCAGCCTGCGACACTAGCTTCATCTGGCCGAGATCGTACAGGTGTCAGGAACCTGCGAAAAGGCGACCCATGGCACAAACGTTGCTCTAGACAAAAGCATCCATCTCTTCATGCTTTGCCGTCTCTGCAATCAGGCGACAACACCCATCGGGCCCCTCTCAGCACAGAGGCCAGCGCGCCCCGCAGGGGCCCTGCATGGGCGGAGGGAAACTGTCCCCTAAAGGAGCCCTTTCCCTGTGAGAAGCTGGCATGGCGACGACACCCAAAAGCAACACCGATGTGAGAAACAGCCAAACGCACCGGGAGCACGCGGACCCTGCTCGGGGTGCGGCGGGCACGCCCACCCTGCCGTCATCACACCCGCCAGCGGTCCCCAGCGCTGGCGTCCAGCCTCCGACGTGACAGCAGAGGCCCAGGGAGGCTAAGCTCCTCGCCCCGGCCACACAACCGCACAGCGGCCAGGTGGGGCCGCAGCGTCCACGGGGAGAACAGGCACGAGCGGGGCGGGCACCAGAGCGGCTGCGGCCCCAGGGCAGGGCCCTGACACCCGGGCGCCGGGGTTCCCCAGCCGCGCGGGCACCAGCCTCCCGGCGCGGGGGGGCAGGGGGGGGCTGTCCAGAGGCGCGGGGCCGCACCCTGGCTCTCGGCGTTACTGAAAGTTCGCTGCCTGGAGGCCCCCCCGCCTGCCCGGCACCCGCCACGCTGAGGCGGGACATGGCTGGGAGAGAATTTCCACAGCAGCTGTGTCTCGGAACTGGGCTGTGACCACACAGTGCCACCATTTGCTGGCAACGCACGTGTGGACAGAACGCCGACGAGGAAAAGCACAGCCAAGAGTGCTGCAGACAGGAACACGGGAACAGACAGAGAAGACAACACTGGGCTACGGGGGAACGGCCGTGTCCCCCATTCCCCAGCGCGAACGTGGAAGCCCCGATTCCCACCACGTGGGGTGGGGCCTCTAGGAGGTCATCAGGCTTAGGTGAGGCTACGGGGGTGGGATCCCCAGGGTGCAGTCGGCGTCCTTGTGGGACGAGACACCAGAGAGCTGGCCTGCGGTCCCCCTCCCTGTGCCACACAAGGGCATGGCGGGAGGGCAGCCACCTGCCGACCAGGACCTGATCAGCCAGGCCCAGACCCTGGCCTTCCAGCCTCCAGGACAGTGAGAAGGTGGGCAAGCCCTGAGTCTAGCCTTTTGTACAGCGGCCCGAGCTGATACCACACCACGCTGTACACATACTGTAACTGTACACATACTGTAATGATACTTCTAGACTTCTTAAAATGTATGCCATGCCTACCACGTGACCTAAAAAGTGGACCTGAGTTCTGTAACTGTGCTTGCCCCCTACGGCACTCACCCATGCAAGAGTGAGCAAATCTTGCTCAGTAAAAGAACTAGTGGAGCAAGGCCCCGGGGGCGGGGTCCCCTGCTCCGTGAGAAGCCTGGCGCACAGCTCCGCCCCGAGCCTGGGCCTGGGCCTGCAGACCGCCCCCCCGCCGCCCCAGTTCCGCAAGCAGCAGCAATCGTGCCTTGGCGGCCCCTCCAGCCAGGCCTCGGGGAGCTCCCGCTACTCGCTACTCGGCAGCAACAAGTGCAAGCAGGGTGAGGCGGGGGAGGGGGGCACGCCCTAGTCCTCCAAACGAGAGAAAAGCCCAATGGAGGGAAATGTGTGTGTTTTCCATCTTTTGCTAACTCTTCAATCTCTCCTAAAATCTTGACTCTCAGCAGCCACTGATGAGAGGACTGACAAAACAAACTAAAGTCAGATTACGGGAAAGCGCCGAGTGACCGTGAGAGCCCCGGCCCCTACCTGTCGCCCGCCTGCACGCCCATGGGGATGCAGTAGTTGAGCTCCAGCCGCGCGATGTTGCCCAGCCGGAGCACGATCCCCGCCCCGTACGACCAGCGGATGCACTCGGCCAGCTTACGGATGTGAGCTCTGGGGCCCTCCCCTGAAAAGAGAAAGGAGAGCGTGTCTGGTGTGGGCAGCCCTGTCCTCCCCGGGACACCGTCCTCCGCAAGCCCTGGCTCCCTTGCTCGCTGTGGGCCCTGCACACGAAGGAGGAGGGAGACCAAAATCAAGAGGGACCGCGGGACCCTCCTTCTCACTGTCCCGGAAGCCAAGCCCTCTCTGTCCTATGGGCCTGACACATTCGGTCCCTTTGCCCAGCACTGCATCTCCCCTGCCCTGACCACCCGGGGAAGCCAGCTCCAAACATTGCTTTGAGGGCCTGTCTTCTTCCAGATACCCCTCCACGTCCCCCTAGCTGGACACGCCCACTGTGGGTCTCCCCTGGTCCTGAGCCCCTTGACGACGGGACCAACCATGGCCTCAACGACAAGCAGAGAGCAGGTGCTCAAGACATGTATGCTGAGTGTACAAGGAGCCTCTGCTCTGCCAGGCAGCATTTGATGATGATTTTTCACATGTGCTCCATTCATCCCACCAATGGCTTTATTCTGGGGCCAGTGGCAAGCGTTGCAGGAATACATTTAAGTAAGCGGCAGTCCTTACACAGAAGGACTACGTCACATGGAAAGATAGACACCTATCTGGGCACTGTGCTTTCAAACGCCAAGTCAACGGCCCGGTCTCAGCCCCTGAACAGGCCGGGCTTACCGTAGTTGAGGTTGCAGAGGTTTCCCGCGTTGAGAAAAAAGTGTGTTCTGAAAAGTTCTCCGAAGCCACCCTGGCCTGGCCGGAACGGCAGCGGGGTGTACAGGTGCAGGCCGCCAGCCCAGTACGCCTCTCCGCCCAGGTAGTCTCCTGAGGAAGGCAGGGGGCAAGCAAAACAAGTCTCAAGACGCGACCCGCACTGATGCCCGCACTGTGGACACGTGGCCCAGGGCGCGGCCTCAGCTGCTCTTCCCCCGCCTGAGACTGCGAGCCTCAGGGGCAGCAAGCTTCCACTTTCCTGGTTTATTTCACGTGGCACCTGAACTGGAAAAAACTGCTAAGGTGATTTAGAAAAGGATGAAATCAAGAATTTATCCCATCTGTGAAGGGCTTGAAATAAACGACCGTATGGAAATCACTTTTCCCACGTGTGCCAATTTCCAGAACACATCGCCTGGCAAACGAAATGTGTCATTATGCAAAAACGCCAAGGCCACAGCGAGAGAGGCAGAGGGCAGACCACGTCTGTGCACGTTCTGGGAACGGCCCCCTGCACAGCGGCTACCACTCAACCACTCACCATGCACGGGAACAGCGTCCCCGCTCGACCGCAAGAGAAGAGGCTGTTTTTAAAAAGTACGACCACTGGGGCTGGGACCGTCCCCCGAGAGTGCACCCGTGCGTGACTTCTGGAAATGCCCCGCCCGTTCCGCTTTAACTACCAACAGCCAAGACACTGAAGCGACCAAAAACTGACACACACCTAAATGTTTATACTTTGTTGCAAAATACGATTTGTAAATTGTCTTAGTGCATCTGATGCAAGGACAAGGGGGGGGGGGGGCGCTGCCTCCAGGGTTACCTCCTGCAATACTTCAGGGCTCCAGTCCCCACCCTGTTGCCCTGCGGGCCCAGCGGGAACAGGGCCAGGAACGCCGACCACCGGCCCACCGCCCACCAGCTCCCACGGGCCAGCACTTTGTTTCCCTGCGACTACCCAGCTCTGTCTGATTGTAAAAGGAATAAACTCACTGTGGAAAAGCTGATAATCATAGGGATGTAGAAGAGTAAGAAATCTTTCATTCCTGCCATTTGGAGATAACCAGCTACCCTTCTGGTATCTTTAATCCGGTGAATTATAATGAATGATTATAAATGAGAAAATAAAACACAAGCCGCTTTACATTTACAGAGAGCGCTCTCAGTCTTGCCTTTTTCTTAGTTTAATATGTCGTAAGCACCTTCCTCTAATACTTAATATATTCCGTGAAATCGTGATGTTGGTGCCTGAATCATCACATATACGCACCGGTCTATTCCTTCTTTGTTGTTACACTGGTGCGTAATGTCCTAGTGGTGGACATTACCCCATGACGCATTTCCCAAACACGCGTCCTAAGTACAACAGCTCAGTAACTTCCTCACGTGAACGCGCCCTATGCTGAGCACCCAGGTGCAGAGACAGGTGCGCGGGGCTCCCTCGCAGACCCTGTTCTCCCGACCCACCCCCGCCACCCCCAGTGAGTGCGAGCACCGCCTGCCCTCACTGCGCAGACGCAGGCCGGCGGGCACCCCACGCACGTGGCAGCCCCCAGGGCCCGGGCTCCGCCTTCCTGCGCGCTGCTGAGCCTGCGCCTGCTGTCTACTTGGCCGGTGGCTGTGGCACGTGCACCCTCGCACTGTGGGACGTTCCATGGGGTGACACCACCGCTCTTTAGGGGCCTATCCTATTGTTGATGGGCACTTGGGTTTCTGGTTTCCAGTGGGCGGGGCCTGTTATTAAAGGCCCCGTGTGTATGCATGTATTTTAGGCTCCTGATACACAGTGTCAAATTGCTTTCATGAAAAGTTACAATTTACATTCTTACCCATAGAATCTGACCAATGGCCTATTTGATAGATAATTAAGTGTAATCTCACTGTGTTTGAATTTTCAGGCAAGTGCAAGACTCCTAAACCCTCACAGAATCGCTATATAATATTTGCTTCTAATGAAAAAAAAAAAAAACTAACCATAAGTTGTTACTTTTTGAAGAAAATGACACTGATAAAAATACTAAAAATAAGTGAAAAGAAATAATCTGTATTTTGTATTAAAATTTATGCACGAGGCAATTACTATGTATAAAAATCTCAAGTTGCAGGTACAAAGATAGGAAAAAAACAGAAAAATTGGGGTAGAATATTTTAAACTGGAATAAACGCATCGATGTAGGGAATGTTTCCGAAGCTTTTCGTGACCTGTGGAGAGACGGATACAGCGCCAGGTGCCGAAGAGGCGCCTGGAGCCCGGCCAGGCCGGGCCTGCGGCGCCAGCATGCGGCCTCCACAGCGCTTGAAAGCTCTCTGGTCTGGCATCCCCACACCTGGAACGCTATGTAGTGAGGGAGAGGTGAAGGATGAGCACGAAAACTCAGCTACGTTATTCACCAACACAGGGCTTTCTAATCATAAGGGAAAAAAACAGTCTACATGTCTAAAACCTGGGGATTGGTTTTAAAATAAGTTAGGATGGCAATAAGATAAAATGGGCAACCGTTACAATAATATTGTGGTAACTATGGACGGTGCCAGGTGGGTACTGGAAATACGGGGGGCGGGGGGCACTTCATAAATTATGCAGCTGTCTAACTGCTGTGTGTACAGCTAAAACTAACATAAACTAATACTGAAAAATGACAAGTTTTATCTCTGATTCACTGCTGGTGGGAATGCAAAATGGCGCGGTCACTTTGGAAGACAGTCTGACAGTCTTACAAATGATTCAGCAACTGTGTTCCTTGGTGTTTCTCTAAATGAATCAAAACCTATGTCCAAACAAAAACCTGCACATGAAAATTTCTATTGGTTTTACTCATAACGGCCAAAAATTGGATGCCCGGAAACGAACCAAGATGTCCTTCATTAGGTGAATGGATAAACAAACTGGTATTATCGAAATGTTACTTATATTGTTACATGGAATATTACTTGGCAAAAAAACCATCTGAGCGGTCAAACCATGAAAAGCCACGGAGGAACCCGAAACGCACGCCGCGGAGGGAGGCAGGCGCGTCTGCAGGGCTGCGCGTCTGCAGGGCTGCGCGCTGCGGGCCCGCGGTCCGAGCCTCTGGAAGAGGCCGCCCCGCGCAGGCCGTGGAAGGGCCGGCGGCTGTCTGGAGTGAGGGCGGGGGGGCGGGCAGGGTGAGGAGACGGGGTGTGGCGGACTGGGGGGGTGAACAGGAGGAGGCGCCGCTTTTGCATGGCACTGTGACAGTAGCGAGGGGCCACCACGCACTGGCCACTGGCCGCAGCGTGGCCCTAACGTGCACGGCGGGCGGGATTCGCGCTCGCGCTTCGTCCCTGGCTCGGCGACAACAGTGCAGCCCAGCAGCGCACACGTCGGTCACGGGGGCAGCCGGGGAACCCTGGGATTTCCGCCCAAGTTTTCTACAAACCCGAAACTGCTCTCAAAAATAATGTCTACTGATTTTTTTAAATTACAGTGTGTCCATAAGATAAAATGAACAGCCATTAAAAATGACAAAATACTCCTACAAAAATCTTCTCCACACATTGTTACCGGCGGAGGCGGAGAAGCAGGTTACACGACAGCAAGTACACAGGCAAAGGCGAGCACAGGGACACATGCCTATCAGCCCAATGCTCACTCATGCTGCCAACCGGTAATAATGGGACCGCGGGTCACCAGCGTGTATTTTTCCCTTGGATAGTTTTTTACAATTCCCTTATTAACAAGCATTTTTCCAGGTCTGCCGTGTGGTAGGTGCTGTGTTAGGTGCTAATTCCACGGTGGTAATTTAAACAGACACCCCCTTTCCAAACCGAGACGCGGGCACAGCAGGGAAAACAGACCTTCACTCTGCGGCCCGACGCTGTGCATGCTGAATCCGCGCACACTCGTGGGTCCCCCGAGGTAAAACCTGGAACAGATAGAGGAAAGCCATCAGCTGACAGTCTCGCGACACAGGGCACGTGCGGCGTGAGCTCCCGGGGCACTGGGCCATGTGGGGAAAGGTTCAGGAAGAGGCACAGGTATGGTCAACTTCTTAAAAATCTCCCCTCACTCTTTTTGATACTTGGTCCTCCTCCTAATGCCTGTGTTCGAATTTAATAATCTCACTACTAGCAGTTTTAGAATTTTTGCTATTATCAACAATGCGACAATGGCCGTCCTCGCACATAAACCTGCACACACTTCTCAATGCATTTTTGGAAATCGTATTTGTGAAGGTTACACTGTTTGGTCCCAGAGTTTAGAAATTAAAAAAATTTTATACTTCCAAACAGCCATTTAAAAACGCTGACATTTTAAAGTCATGCCAGGTTAAAAAAGGAGTTTCTTGCCCTGGAGACCAATTACTAGTGTTTGATTCAAAGCAATGAGGGCAGCCCCGCCCCCTGCTGGCGGGAGCGTGAACTGTGACCAGCTTCTGAAAGGCAGGCCCCGCCCCTTCTTCAGGGGCCTGCAAATTGTTCTGGGCTTTGGAGAGGTAATTCCACCTGTAGGAATCTCTTCTCAGAAAGCAAAATGCCCAAAATTACTGACAAAATCACATTCTTTACAGTATCACTTACGTGCAAATAATGAAGCATTAAAATGCTTATAAAAAATTTCTCATGACTTGGGGAATGGCTTGCACTATAATTTCTTTAAAACTTTTTTAAAAAGCAGGAAGAACACAAATCTGCACACAAAATACAACATATCAACAATTTAACACAGATGTGTATATAAATTATTACACATATACACACATAAACACACATCCACAAAAAAAAAAAAGACAGAAAAGGAAGGTGTCCCAAATGATAACTCTGCTTATCACTGAGGATTTTTTTTTTACTTCCTTAAATGTTTCTCTATTTTTATATTTCTGCAATGTATATGAACTATATTCTTTCATACCCAAAAGGAAACACAAATTCTTTCATAAAGTTAACTCCCTCTCCCAAAAAGGCAAAAATAGTAAGGGTGAGGCATGCTGGGTATTTTGAAATTAACTTAAACATTAACACCAAAGTAAATTTTGAAATATTTGCTCTCCTAGATAAACATCTCTAAAATATCTTACAAGAAACCAACCAGAAAGAGCCAAAGGAAAACATCTGCAACGACGCACCATCCATTTATTAGTAAGAACTCTCCGACCAGCCCTGGCTGGTGGGGCTCAGCGGGCTGAGCGCCAGCCTGCGAACTGAAGGTCAGCAGTTCGACCCCCAGTCAGGGCACGTGCCAGGGTTGCAGGCCAGGTCCCCAGTTGGGGGCGTGCGAGAGACAACCAATCGATGTTTCTCTCACATATCGTTTCTCTCCCTCTCTTTCTCCCTCCCTCTCCCTCTCTAAAAATAAATAAAAAATAAAATCTTTATCATCACTCACCTATCAGCAATACTTGATGGTTTATCACCGATGGGCACCAGCATTCCACCCCAGAGAGACGCTGAGAAAACCTATTGACACACACACACAAATGCCGTTTGTGTCCGGCGTTGCCCTCCTTGCCTGAGCATCGCAGACAGGAAACGCAGGGTCTGGGCCGCGCCGCCTGCTGCGCCCACGGCCGCAGAGCTGGCTCAGGACCGGGCCACAGGGGAGCAGCAGCTTGTCCAGCTGGAGAACCTGCACAGCTCTAAGTGGTCTGTGGGTACTTTAAAAGCCTGCAACTCCAGACGTAGGGTAAAGACATCCCCAGCGCAGGCAAGGCACAAGCCGAGGCCCGAGCGGCCGCTTCCCCTCCCTCACGGTGGGACAGTGTGCCTGGTGGGGGGGGGGGGCCCAGGAGGGACTCTGCGTCCCCAGGCCGCTCTGACTTGGTGTCACAACGGTGGAGGAGGAGGGTGCATGGCAGCTCAGGAGGCGGAGGCTCAGAGGCTCCCACGCTGAGGGAACGCAGAGGCACGCAGCTCCCCACGCAGCCCTCAGAGGCGGCCCTGCTGTGAGGTCGGGCCGTCGCCCGCCCAGACCGGGTCCGACCTTCACGCCCAGGTAAGGCGCCACACGAAACCTACCTGCCATTGCCGTGACCACCGCGACCCCGTGCCCTGGCCCCCCATCTCCTGAGCATGCTTTGTTTTTGCTCGTGTCACCCTTCTCTCTGACTTGCAAATCCCCGTGTCCTTCAAAGCTGCTCACACCTCTTTCTTATTGATAGGAGCTTCCGTAGGGGGTTGGAGATGAACACCAGGGCCAGGAGGGGCAGAGGAGCCCAAACTGCACACTCTAGTTGGACAAGCTCAGCTACTCGTGCCAGAGCATTTAGGAGACACCCGCAGCCCGCCTGGCACTGTGACATGCTCCAGGAAGCAGCAGAGGGCAGAGCTGGGAGCGCTCCGAGGCGGGCGCCCCTCACCTGGCTCTGGGGCGGAGCGAGGCAGGCAGGGCTGGCCGCCCAGGCAGGGCACGGGCTTCAGGAAGACGGCCTCACAGGCCTCGGTGCCGCCCTCCGCAGGGCACAGAGTGGGGCTGGAGCTCCCGCTCGCCTGTCCTCCTCCCGCCTAACCGTCCCCACTGGCCCAAGAGCAGGCCGGCGCGGTTACACACCGGAAGAGCCCCAGCCTGTCCCGCGTCCCCACGGACCTTGGTGCCCCGTCACCCCTCCAGCCACCACTCCCAATGCTCGAACACCGGCAGAGCCTAGGAATCTCCCCGCCGCCCCCCGCCGTCCGGTCCTCGCGCGTCCTTGCTCCCCTCCTTAGCCAGCGCAAGCCTCGCGGCTCGTCACCACGGCACCACCTGCACGCACCTCACCGGCGTCTCTCACAGGCACCCTCCCCTCCCCCCGCCCCCGGCCCGGTCAACCGCCTGCCCGCTCCCTTGGCTGTAGCTGCACAGCTGGCACACGCCGCATGCCGGTGGCTCATTTGAAACCAGACTTGAACACTTACAGGCCCTTGGAGCTGCCTGACTGTGCCCCCACACTTCCCCAGCTGCTCACCCCCACTCGCTCTGATGGCAATTCCAACTCAGTCCCCCAACTGCCAACACCTCCTCCGCCTTCACCGAGAACAAGGGATAAACCCACAGGTGACGACATTCCGGCCAGATACTCACTGAATCAAGTACAAGCTGCTTATTCAGCTGAAGCTCGAAGTCTTCCTTTATGAAGCTCACGTCGCCTCCGGTGTAGCCGGCCAGCTCCTGGGGGAAGAGGCTGCGGTCGCGGTGGGGCAGCCGCCTGGCCCATGGGCCGCCCCACTTCCGGGCAGCGGCCCTTCACGTCCGCTAGTCTGCCACGTCAGACAAGCGCCAGGCCCGTCTGCCTGCCGGAAGCTGTGCCCTACTTGTTCTAGGTGGTGCCAGGGGCCTGACAGAGGCACAGAGCCATCAAATGTTCTGAGCAACAGCGGGCACGTCAGCCCCACGGGGACAGGAAAGTGCTGGCAACACGAACCCCTCACCACAGGGCTCGCAGTGGACAACATGGCACATGTCGCCCAACCCATGCTTGAGAAAGGAATCAGCCAATCTTTCACGATTTGGCACACTTCATGTGAAACCCGATTTCCAGCTGCTCCTCGGACGCTGAAGCCCAGGCGGACGGAGCCCCGCACGGCCCGGCCCGGCAGGCCTACGCTGTCCAGCCCCGGCCTGGAGTTCCGTCGTGGGAAACCGTTCACACCAAAGCGCGGCTTTGCTCCCCGCCCAGTGAGGGGCACCGCAGAGGCCAGAAGGCGATGCTCACTCTGGGCGAAGGCAGAAGGCCCGAGAGAGGACTGACACCCTAGCAAGCCCCTCGGGAGCGACGTTTACAAAGGAGGGAAGTTGTTCAGTGCAGGAAATGTGACCCGGTCCCCCGGGCTCCCAAGTGTGCGAGCGCGTGGGAAACACTACCTGGTTAACTTTGAGCAAGGCGCCTCTCTTGGGGAGGATGGAGGAGTTCCGAGAGTCGATGACCATGGCGTGCTGCAAGAAACAGGTGCCGAGGCACTTTCATTTCCAACAGGTCTATAAAATAACAAGGGCCTACTGCTTCCTGGGCACTAACCGCACGCTAGGCATTGTGCTAGGCTCTTCCCGACCCTTCCAGCGCGTTAGGGAGGCCCCGTGAGGGAGGTGGGAGCACCACCCCGAGAGCGGAACGATCACTTCTCGCTTGTCGGGTGCCGGCTGCGCCCCCATCACGGGGCCTGTTCTCCCAGGGAGCGCGGCACCCTGACCGCGGTCGGCTCTGCAGCCTTCGGCTGAGCTTCCGGCGGCTCTCACACACACCTGCCCCCATTACCGCCAATGTCATTGAGAAATAATAACAGGCCGCATCTATAAACTCACGAAGTGACTGGGTCACACTGTTTTTGCCACCCAATCTGTGACACTTTTCAACCCACCCTGATGTTGGTGGTGGCCACGTCCCAACCTACACCGCGGCTGCGGCCAAGCACCTCAATATTCACCCGAACAAGCACAGTTCTTACCGAAAGCGACGACTTCAGGGAGTGGCCGCTCTCCTGCCGGACGGCAAAGGACGCTGTCCTGGCGAGGCAGCCCAGCTCCCGCCACACGCCCTCCCACTTGACGGTGTGGCTGGTCTTCCATATGGGGAACTGCAAGCACAGGGGCGGCCACTTCAGTGCTGGGCGGCAGGGCGGCGCCCAGGCAGGCCTTGGAGTGAGGCGTCCTTAAATCATTAACTAATGAAGTACGCAAGACCCTGTTCTCATGGTGGGCAGGGAGGGAGAGAAGGGAAAGGAGCAGAGGAGGGGGCGGGGGAGCGGGGGTCCGTGGTCAACAGGAACACTGCGCCCCGTGGCCGGCTGTCCTGGGCGAGGAGACAGCACCCGTGGCTGAGAGCTGCGTACAACTTTGTGCCCGACAGGCTTCCTTTCCACCCAAAGACAATCTGGCACACACCCTCCTGGTCCTCCCTGAAGCCGGGCTGGGTGACCCAGGTGCCCCCATCAGCCCACCAGAGGGGGTGCTGGGGAGCAGTGTCTGCTGGGGCGGCCCCGCTGCACCCCAGCATGAGGCGGAAAGGTGGCCGAGAGCCCCTCCTTCCGCGCCGGTACGGGCAGCCAGCGCCAAACCAGAAGCGAATCACCAACGCTCAGGCCCGCACCCTGGGCTCTGTCTCAGTTTCCCTGGCCTACCTCAGTTTCCCTGACCCTGGTCTGCAGGGCGAGGCGCATGCGTGACTCGTGTGTCCAGCGCCCCCAGGTGCCAGGCTAAGCCCAGGCATGACCCCAGGGCTCCAGGGGGGTCCTCAGACCAGAATCGGTGGGGCGGGTGGGGACTGCAGCCATGTCCCGGCCCTGTCCCTGGGGACGCTAATTCAGCAGGGCATGCTGGGCCCAGGGACGGGCTTCGTGACGGGCGCACGGGCAAGGCCACCGCTGTGGGTCTGAAGACCACGCTGGGGGAGCTGCCGGAACGGGAGAGGAGCAGGGACACGTGTAGAAAGGAGGGAACAGCAGGGCTCACTATAAAGCCAAAAAGGCCGAACGGCTGTAAGCCCATTCGTTGCCTTTGGCTAGGTCCTGCCAGAAATAAATGTGAGTGCAAACTAGCTTATGCTTTCTGTGACCGGAGAGCCTCTGCGGGCGGCCAGAAGGTGCTGACCTCCACACGGGAGGAGGGACAAACAGGCGGCGGCATGGGCAGTCAGGAGCACGGAGGAGACCTACCAGGTCGGAGAAGCTGCCACCGTGGCTGTTCGCCGCACTCACCCGGGCAGCCAGGCTGGGGATAGAACCGAGGGCGACGGCGCCGAGGGCAACGGCAACGATGCCTGCCCCGCACCCCACCCCCCCACCAGCGTCCGGCCTCTGGCCAGTCAGTGCTCTTCCCGCCCAGCCCCCTCTTGCTGCCTTTGGGAGCCAAGTGAAGAGGCACTGGGTCCTTCCTCGGGCGCAGAGGACGAACGACAGGGACGCCACTCACGCTGTACTCCGCAGAGATGCCCCGGTCCGTCTCCCGGAGGGAGCTCCACGGGAACTGTCCGGTGACTTTGTATAAGTTCACGGAGAAGCTAGGAGGCAACGGGACAGGGCTTTCACAGCCGGGACAGGGGCCGCCACCTGCACACGCTACAGCAACAGACTTAAAAATGCGCTTCAGGGGCTCATCTCCAGGGGGACCCACAGCGCGCGGCGACCCGTTAGGGCTCGGTTCCCTCCCCAGCAAGCAGCCATTCCAGCTGTACACCCGGCCACTATATGCAAGGGTCTGGCTTCCTACTTTCTTTGGAAGTTTCCAGGCTGTGGTTTGAAGAAGGACAGGCCGTAGGATGTTTCTTTGGTTCCGTAGGAAAACTGAAATGTCACTTTTTCCGCCCGGCCCAGAAGATTGGGGAGCTTGAGGCCAAGCACCTGGGAGGAGAAGACAGAGAGAGTCGGGGTTCAAACCGAAGGGATGACAGCCCGTAACGAAAGCCCGGGCTGGCTCGGGGCCTCAGAGAAACAGGACAGACGGCGGAGACGACAGGTCTGGCAGGGTCGCCTGCAATCGCATCCGCTCTGGAAAACCTGCCTTGCCGAGCGTGTGCCCTACACACCCTGCTGGCCCACCCGCGCGGCCGGCTCCCCCTGCGAACGGCACTGCGAGCCTCACGGAAACCAGCTGTGGCCCTGGGGTTCCGGGGAATCTGAACAAGAGACTTAACATGAACATTCCCCAAACCATTCCTAATTCACTACTAACGTTAATATTGTTTTCCAATGATCCAAAACGTATGGTGGTCAATTCTAGGAAGGCTAATGAGAAGCCAGGGGCCACCTCACAAATACAGACCGAGGCACGTGAAGGTTTGAAACCCCCGCCCGCCTTCGGACCACGGGCGCGCCGCACAGCCCGCGGGGGCCCCGCGCGAGGCCGGCGGCCGTACCATGCTGCCCTCGTTGTTCCCGACCATGGTGTTGTAGCTGCCCGTCAGCCTCCTCAGCTCGGTGACTTCAAAAGTAACGTCCAGCCCGTTTGGAAGGGCGTCGTCGCCTGGGGAAGGGACAAGCGCACAACAGTAAGGCTCGCAGAACAGGCCCTTTCCTGTCAGGTCCCGCTGCTAAGACGCAACCTGAAGGCTCCGTTTACTTGACAGCCCCCTTCGGAAGTCCCGCCTCTGTTCTGAAGTTCGAGAGGACCGCCACACAAGGCCGTCGCCGCCTCTACACTGTGGCGCCGGGCTGCGCTCCTGCGGGGGGAGGGGTCAGGGAGCGGTGCCCCCCCAGGAGACAGCCGCGGCGCCCCCTGCTGAGCGCGCAGTGTTTGCTTCTGTCCTCCTACTGGGGGGCCTCGAAGCTATGGGGGTCTCAACTCCACTGACAGTGAGGTGTGGAAGTCATGTGACAAGGGGGGCTCTGGTAACCCTGAGAGAGAAGGAAGAGCTCTTTATTCGACATAACGGGATTGTTTGGGCCTCCTTCAAGCTGGAGGCACGCCGCCTACGGGGTGATTAGGGCCTGAGCCCAGTGCAGCTGCTGCGCCCCCTGCGGAGGGCCCCACGGGGCCGCGGGCTCTCACAGGCAGGAAGCGGCCGATCCCGATCCCGACCCCGGCCGGACCACAGACGCCCACGCCCTGGCTCTCAAGCACTGGTTCAGTGGGTCAGGGTGGAGTCTTGGCACCGCTTTTTTCCTTTTTTTTAATATTAATAGATTTTATTGTTCAAAGCAGTTTTACATTCATTGAAGAACTGAATACAGAGTAAAGCTTCTACACGCCCCCGCCCCCTACTCTGGGAGCATCCTGAGCTAGGGAGGCACGTGGAGCAGCTGACCCGACAGGGCGCAGTGCCTGTCGCAAAGCGCGGTTCGCATTAGGGCTCGCTCTTGCTGTTGCCCATCCCCGGGGGCCCCGCCACGACCGGTTCCCACGCAGCCTCTCGCTGCCCGGCGCCGCTGTCTTCTAATGGCACCCAGGCGAGCGCAGGGCGCCCCCGGACACCGCAGCGGGCCGGCTGACCGTAGCAGACAGGGGAGCGCTGCCATCAAGGCCACTGCCAAGGCCGGCCACCCCAGGCCGCCCTCCAGGCAGCGGCAGGGCCTGCGTCCCTCGCCTGTCTGACCTGGGGCATGTTATTAAACCTCCTAGACTGTTTCCTTAGCTGAACATTATCCTTTCTAAATAATAAGTGACCAGGTTTCTGTGCGATTCATCTGGGTCACGGACGCAAACCCTCAGGCAGAGCTGAGCCGTGAGGGCACATCCGTGGCTGGCCGCCTCCCGCGCCCCACCCCCCAGCTAAGCCCGAGGGGCTCCAACTGCAGCTGCGTCACAGCCACCTGGAGGGCTGGCCACGCCAGGCCCCTGGCCGCACCCTGCTCCAATCAAGCGTGCATTCCTGCCAAGCCCCAGGCAAGAGCAGGGCTGCCGGGCTGGGATGGCCCTCAGAACCGCTATTTGAGCCACGCGCGAGTTCCCACTCCCTAGCTGCGTGTGCAGCCGCACTGCCTGCCCGCACTGCCCAGCGCCCCCCTCCACACTAGGCGTGGCCGCGGGAGCTCGCCCAGGCGGTGCGGGGGGCAGTGCTTAAGGTGGGGCGGGCCCTATCGCCCTCCTTCCCTCCTTCCCGTGGCCGGAGTGAGAGGTGTGGATGCTGGAACAGTGCCGGCCATCGCTGGGCCTGGGATGCCGTGGACGATGAAGTGACCGACACCACAGGGAAACCACGCCAGCCCCAGGAGACCCCGCAGAGCAGAGCCATGAGGCCAGCCCCAGCCCGTCTCCCACAGCCAACAGGCAAACGGACACTGAAACTGAACTCCGACACCTAGTGCCCACTCTTAAGGCAAGTATTTCGACAGAGTCCACCAGCACCCACTCGGATACGCGTGGGCTGGGTGCCCCAAGTGTTGTCCGGCTCCCTGCCCCGGACATCCTCGGAAGGGCACCCTGCGGGGTCCAGAGGACGGTGCCTTCAAACCGCGCCCATCCTCCCCGGGCCTGACGCACAAACCCAGGGGCCCCCGAGGCTGCTAACGGCCAAGGCCAGGGCCGCCTCGGCCGGCGCACACACCGCTTCCGCGACCCCGGAGGGCGGGTGGGGAGAGGCATCACAGAAACACGACGCACAGCACGTACCTTGGCATGTATCAATCAGAACATCTACTTGTTTAAATATTCCCAGACGAAGCAGTTTTTCACGGGCTTCGTGAGATTTCCGCATTACCTGTGACAGCAAAAACAGAGGATGTGCTTCTCTGAGATTCCGACACACGAACGGTGGCCCTGTGTCCAGGCTGGTGGTTTACCCTCGCATGCCTGCTGGCCCCGAGGAGAGTGCGCCACTACGACCAGACTCACAAAGGAAGGGACAAAGCCAAAGCGCTGAGGGGGCAATGGAAACCCTATTCAGAGAGCAGGAGATCATCTCTTTTGCATAAACAAACAAACAAACAAACCAAAAAACAAAAAGCATACAGCCCAGCCGGTTTTCCTGGGAAGGATCACAACCAACTGCCCACCGCTGCGCCTGCTGAGGGGACACTCTCCTGTCCACACCCACGCGGGCCTCTAAGTTGTCAGGAGAGAGGAGGATATGCCCACCATCCAAAGACAACAGAGCAAGAAAAACATAGGCAACGTGACGGTTATCATTTTTCAATATGCCAGAAGCTTCTTCATAAAAGCCCAACAACCCAATGGAAAACAAAGACGCCAACAGGTAATTCACAGGAGAGAAATGAGAAGGGTCAAGAGACATGGAAAAGGTGCTTCATCTCATTCACAATTAAAAGGTGCAAATTGGAACAAAGATAGCATTTTCACCGAACAGGTAGGCAAGGGCGTTTAAAGTGTGACACCACCCAGTGTTGCAAAGCAGGCCCTCCCGCATCCTGCCGGAGGGCGTGGGGCCGGGGTCTCTCTGGGGGCTACGGGGCACATCCGCTGAAAGCACAGAGCACAGAGCCGATCCTGCAGTTGTGCCACCACGCACGCACCAAGGTGCTCGCTGCAGCGCTGTTCCAAGAGCAAAATGCTGTTTACGAAAATGCTTGTCAATAGGAAACTTTCCAATAAATGACGGAAGAGCACACAGAGTGAGCAGTGCACTCCGCGCAGTGCTACATGCTGATGTGAAAGGATCTCCGTGGTAGTCCAGAACATCCAACACGGAGGGCGACGGGGGCACGTGCAGACCGGGGCTCGCGTGTTCAGACCCGCGTCCCGTGTTCCTGGAGGGACGCGCAGGGAACCCGCAGCCCGGCTCTCCCTGCAGGGTGGGCCGGCCTAGGCATGCTATAGCATTAGGCTGTTTTATGCTTTTTTTTAAACTGTACTTATGTATTAATCTTTTCATAAAAATACTGATTTTTAAAAGTGGAAGGGGCTAAGCACTCTTGACAGGTCAAGTAAAATGAGGACTGGAAGGAGCCTCTGGCCCAGGCCACGAAGAAGCTGCAGGTGCCCTGCCCAGCACGTATATGTGGTCCCAAGATCAGAGGGACAGAAGGACCCACAGAGGACAAGATGCAGATGATGCAGCCGAGGAAGGAGACTGGAGAAATGGAGCATGGACCCGAGGGGACAGCGGGGAGGGTGACAACCGAACGCCACCCCATGAGGCTGGGAGGGCCCCGAAGGAGAGCGTGCAGTGGGGCACGAGGCAGGGAGCTGAGCGCCGGCAGGGAGCTGGGCGCAGGCGGAGGGCTGGGTGCCGGCAGGGGGCTGAGCTGGGCGCCGGCAGGGAGCTGGGCGCCAGCAGGAAGCTGGGTGCGGGCAGGGAGCTGGGTGCCGCCAGCAGAGGGCTGGGTGCAGGCAGGGAGCTGGGCGCCAGCAGAGGGCTGGGTGCAGGCAGGGAGCTGGGCACAGGCAGGGGGCTGGGCGCAGGCAGGGGGCTGGGCGCAGGCAGGGGGCTGGGCGCAGGCAGCGCTGGGCACCAGCAGCCCCCTTCCAGTGCTGGGGCGGCTACACACGCAGGGAGGGACCAACCTGGGAAGAGGGGGCAGACGCCCCTCCCCAGGGACAAGGGCGAATGCAAACCTATGTAAGACTGTGGGAGGTGCCCGGGGTGGGGTGGTTTGGCATGGGGCGCCAAGGCTCCCTTCAGGGCAAGAGGGGAGGTCAACAGCACAGAGGCCGGGGCGGGGCATGTGGCGGTGTGCAGACGCGGGGAGTCACAGCATCTTCAGGAGTGGGAAAGATGCCGAGCAGAGGAGATACTTGCCTCAATAAGGTTTTTAGCCTTAAAAACGTCTCCAATTTCATACATGATGATATCGTCTTTAGTCCTTCCGAGCCCGTCAAAATGAACGTGCTGAACCACCACCTGCAAGTGACAGGGGAACAGTGACTGCTCAGCACGGCACGCGCACGGGGCCAGGCTCCGGGGCGAAGGGCAGATGTCTGAAATCACTTTCAAGGGTCTTTTTTCAAGTTTACCCATCCATGTTTCTTAATCCCAGACTTTATTCTATTTATTTTTCACTCCTTTTCAAACAACTGGTGACCTGAACATCTCTTGGCAAGGCCTGTGCTTCCTCTGTGCAGGCCCCCACGGCCTCTGTGCCCAGGTGGCCAGGGACCACGCCCGCCTGAGCCAGCAGGCCCAGAGGCCGCCTGCACGTGCTGCCCGGCCACGGGTGCCGCGGGTACAGCCCGACCTCGCGCTGCGGGGGTCTCGCGAGGGGTCTCGGGTGGCCGGCACAGCACGACGCGTGCGGACTCAGGGCCCCCGCCTCTGTCTCCTCGTGGAACAGTGAACTCTTCCAGGGCGGGAACTGCTGTTCGCTCGCCGCCGCCGCTTCATAAAAGCCTCTCAGCCCCGCGGATCTGCAGCGTCTGTCTAACCCGTTCGGGAGAAGCACGTTGACCCTATGGGGCGGGGGGTGCGTCACTCTGAACCCAGGGCGCAGGAGAGAGCCAAACAAACTGCTGCCTCAGAGGGGCTTGTATTTTTAGGGAGGAAAGAAAAAGGCCATGTGTGTAAGGAAGCAGATGATACTGAGTAACAGAAAAATAAAGCCCAGACGAAAGGAAGTACTAGGGAAATGTGTCACCACAGGTGACTGGAAGGCCACACAGAGAAGAGCTTAATGCCAGAAGGAAAATGTGCTGACACTTCTTCAGCTGTCTTTCATTTCAGAAGCAACAAAGTTTAAGAAAAGTTTCATTCAAGACCCTCTGTCTTTTTTTCCGGGAGTAGGGAATAGAGTATAAGCTCAAACATAATTTGAGTTAGTCTTTGAAATACCTTTTTTTAATGACATAAATACAAAATGGGTTTGTTTACACTTCCTACATAAATAATCAAGTAAAAACCACATTTCTAAAACCAGACAGTATTTTTCTAAGTTACTAGTCTTTCTAAAATGTACTTTCTACACCTTCTTCTTCGATGAAGTTACGGACACAGGTCAGGTCCTTTCCCGTCCCCTAGAAGGTTACGGAAGTGAATGTTGCCAGTAACAACTACAGGGCCCGGCAGAAGTAATGCCTGCTTGAGTGTGGTTGGGAGGGTAATACCTAAATGGGTGTAATAATTCACAGTTTTAATTTGAACACTTCACCTAAAATGTCACGTGGTGCGCTTGAGTGTGATACTGTTATGTTACAGAATTACGTGCTTACGATTTTGTAATAAAAAAGGGGTGTTATTTGTGCTGGACCCTGTATCTCAAGCCCTTCAGCAGAATACTCACATCTTTGTTTTCAAGAATTTCCTGTTTAGCTTCAGGTTCAACTTCAACAAATTCAGCTTCTTCTCCTAATCCTCCAAACTCAGGTCCACTGGCTGGAAGAGGCTCCAAACTCTGACAGGGAAGGAGGAAGCACAGATAAATGAACTTTTAACATATAAAAAATAAGAGTTTTGTCTTTAGATGGTGCTCCAGAAAACTGGGTACCGTGGCTCCCGCTGGCAAGTGCAGGCGGGCAGGGCATGGGTGGCGGGCAGTGGCCAGTCTTATGTTGGCAGTGGGATCCTCAGTGTCCGGTGCATTATTAATAAATAAAACAAAGATGAATTTTCAAGTAACTAAAAAGGTCAGACATGAACTATGACGACTGTGCCCTGAACCAAGGATTATGGTTAATCTAGTTCTGTATATCTGAGGCCCTTTTGAAAATGGAAATAATTTAAAAATAAGATGCCATAGTGACATATATCAGGGAAAAGAAAAAAATTTGCTTCTCTGTTGTTAGAGAAAGGATCTTAATTTTTTTAATCAAAATTGGATACATTTTAGGACAACTAATTACGTTGGCGTCTCACATTACTAAAACACATTATTCTGGACCCCAACAGATTTGTTCTGATTCCGAAAGTCTCACTAAGAGAAAACTGCTCATAAAATGGGTCAGAAAGAGGTCGCTTTCTTTGATCTGAACTGACATCATCTCCAAAGCACTGAAGCATCTCCTGAATAAGGACTCCACAGGCTGTGCCCGGGTTGGTACTTTCGGAGAGACAGGATAGTGTGTATGATACACACCTAACATCATACATGGCATACATGCTGGCCTCACCACAGGGGTTCCCAGACACTCCTAGAATGTGTTCAGAAGGTCTTGTGTGGCACCAGATAGTTGTGCAAATACCCAAGTTTGGGGAAAACCATGTGAACTAGTTATCTGGCAGCTTCCTTACTCCTCGAATTCCCTATAAATAACTGAGCGCACAGGAGTGCCAGACGCCGGCAACCTGCAGAGCGAAGGCGACTCTGGACCGTGGTCCCCTTGCGCCTGGAATACTCCACAGCTCCTCGTCAGGAGCTCCTCTTAACGTCTCTGGTCTCTGGGAAGGTAATGACCTGGGAGTACCATGTCCTCTTTCCCAGCCCTGCCCTAAAGATTCGGAAGGTCCTCGAGCGCCTACAGGTTAGAATCCAACTAGATTTCTTTGCAGGGCACACAAGGAACTTGGGAGTGCCCAAGGCCCACGGGTTAGAATCCAACTAGATTTCTTTGCAGGGCACACAAGGAACTTGGGAGTGCCCAAGGCCCACGGGCACTCCCAGCCCTCACATTACTGGTTGGGCACCTTGTTCTCTCTGCGAGAAATAACTCCCCTGTAAGTAAGTAGCTTAAAGAGCCACCTTAAATGGCATCTCCTCTGTGAGCTGTTCCTCGTTTCTTTCGGAGAATCAGTCTCCTTCACAAGGACACCTCGACATCAGAGGTTTACGAGGACTCCTTCATCTTATTTTTACCTGCCCTGGTACATGAGAAATACCCAAATATTCGTGAAATGGGTTAGTGTATGTTTTTTTCCTCTGTCCATTTAATAACCATTCACTGAGGGCCTCCTGCGGGCTGACGCCTGGGCTGAGAGCAGGGGACGCCACAGTGACAGACAGACCAGGCGCCGCCTCGGAGTGCTTCACGGGGACAACTCACAGAAGTGGAAAAGGGAAGATAACACTAGGCAAAGGATGTACCATTTATTTCATACCCTTTCACTTCTGGTGAGTAACTCTTAAAAAATGGAATCATTACTATAGCTCTCAAATACATGAACAAATTAAAATCGTAACTTTTTCCTGCACCATTTCATAAGGGTGTTCTCTAAGTTTACATAATACAAAAAGTATATTAAATCTGTGCAAATTGTGTACGCAGAGTGTATACTATGGTTATGAATATATGCACATATTCATCCCACTTAAGCAAATATGCTCTGTCTGGGCACAGAGTTTATATTCCATTATGTTTTTAAAAATCCATCAAGATTCCGAAAATTTCAAAGCATGAAATGAGATTCGCTGAACACCTGCCAGACCCATTCGCATTCTCTGATCTGAAATTCAGGCCGTAAGAGACGATGGCTTTATGAACGTACAGTTAGGCCAGCGCTTCATGTCCTAAGTTAACTGTCTCCCTCATTCACCAAATATTAAGAAGATACTATGTGACAAGCACAAGTTCCTCACCCTCATAGAATCTATATTCAGTATCTCAAAGAGTAGGCATAGTGTTAAATAAGTATTTGGAGAAATAAATGAAAATAAATATCTGGATCTAGCCTCTCACCTTTAAGCAGATCGGTCTGTATCGGCCAGACAAACTTTATTGACCACCGTGCGCTAGGCACAGTGCAAAGCACTGCTAACCACAGGGATAGGACAGGAAATAAATGCAATGAGCTACGAACAGCATCTTTAAAGTGATACAGACTAGAACCAAACGGAACATATTACAAAATAACAAGTTTTCATGGTGAATATTGTTTCACAAAACTTTTGTTTCACATATGCAGGAAGGTACTGGACAGAAAACATAAAATGTTTTCTTACTGTGAGTCTTGACCAAAAAGTTCACATGACACTGGCCACTGGAATAGAAACATCAAACTAAACTGAAACATTTCTGTGACCACATTAATTAAAGCAGCAGCGATCTTAGCATCAAAGGAGCTCAATTAAAAAAGCACTTTTTTTCTGTATTCTTAGCACCTGCAACAGTGCCACCCACGGAGCAGCCCACGGGTAAGTATCACTAGAACAAATGAATGCTTACTTTGTTCAAGCTGCTACAAGGGATGCAAGCCAAGTAAGATGCAGTTCCTACTGTAACATCTAGAAACTCAGAATGTAAAAGGGTAAGACAAAAATGGAAACAGAGCTAAAACAAGGCATCAGAGGAAAAATGTCAAGGAAGTGATCATCACATCCAAATGAGAGGGGATAAAGGGAAGTCTAGCCGGAAGTGACCTGTACTGAGTTCTAAAGGATAGGAACACTTTGACAGCTAATACGGGTTGTGGGGAGGGTGATGGAAGAGGGAACTGGCTGCAACGGTCCCTTCCAGAGTGTGTAAGGAAAGCAGCGGTGTTTCATTTGAGTAAAAGATGTGAGGTCGGGATCCTAGGTTGAGAAGTCTGCGCTACAGTCTTTCGGATGACGATGGGAAAGGACTGAGAACTTGTAAGCAGGGCAGTGAAACAATCCCTCGTGTAGAAGGGAAGTCGTTTATGGGGCTGGGACAAGGGAGATCTGAGTTTTGGAACATTCTGAGGCTCTAACACTGTGACCTTGGACAAAATATTCCTTCTCGGGCCGTCAGTGAAGATGACGATAAAGGAGAACAGTTTGGCAAGCGGTTAGTTCGCGTCAAGCACTAAGCAAGCATTTGATATTCACTGTGTCTTCTAATTCTCGCAACAGCCTGGTGAGTAAATACTACTACCGCCTCCACTTGAAAAGGCGGAACTAAAGCACTGAGAGGCTCCGTCTTTGACGGTAACAAGTGGAAAGGACTCCTAGATGGGTCTGGGTTGCAAGACTTCAAAGGACACTTGCTGCTCCAGGAAGTTAGCATGACTCCGGCAGCGGCTGATCGCGAGACTAGAAAAAGCGACCGGTGAGAAGATGCCCGAAAGGGCAGACGGTAGCGAGATCAAGCCACGGAGAGGAAAACTTATTACTCTGCTCCAGGACATCATGGGAACTTCGCTACTCCTCTCAGGGCCACTGCCTCACGGAGTGACCTTGGGCAAGTGGCGCCCCTCCTCGGAGTATCGCTTTCCTGCTCGGAGGTCTGCGGGACGCGCTGGCAGGGTTTTTATGGCCTCCGCGCCCCGCTGCCCTCGGAGTCCCCTCGCCAGGGACCCCTGGGCGCAGCCGCGAGAGCGTCGCCACGCGGCGCCCGCCCAGAGGTCACAGAGCCCGCTGGGCTTCTTACCCGGGCGTGCACCGTCCCCATGGTTCCCTCTCCGACCGCCGCCTCGCAGAGCTGCCTGCGTCCAACCAAGGCTCGGCTGGTGAGGGCAGAAGGCGGGGCAGCGGTGGCGGAGCTACCGGTCAGCGCACCACTGACAAGCCCTCGGACGCAGCGCCCTGGGGGCGGCCATGATGTCCCTCCTTAACCCCGCCCCGTGGCTCACGGTGCTTTAGCTCATTGGTGCCTTGAGAGCCTGTAACCCGGATGTTCATGTGGACGCCGGGAAGTCCTGAGGCTTGAAGTAGGCGCAAGCGCAAGGCGCCCAATGCTGCCTGTGAAGGTGCTGGCGCTTAAAGCGCAGTTCCGCGTGGGTCTCCGCCGAGAGCAGGTGTACGGAGTGGCGTCTGGGAAGGACCGCACCAACTTGTCGGTGCGACAGGGCTTCGCCCAGGTCTCGCCCTCAACCCTCCTGGCATCCTGGCCCAGCGGGTGATGTGTTGTCCTCACGCCCCTGCGGAGCGCCGAGGCTCCCCACACGCTGTAACGCAGCAGTGGCCTCACCCAGCGTCGGGGCTGCACGAGTCGGCTGTCGCCCTACGCCCCTCCTGCTGGCCGCACGGACCTTTTCAAGTCACTGACATGCCTTAGGGCTCAGCCTCCTCATTGGCAAAATGAAGGTGACGGTCGTAGCTACTTTACAGGGTTCGATTAATGGAGCTCGTGCATGAGAGATGAGATGTGAAAACGCCCGTGAGGCGTCTGTGAGGGACTGTGCAGGGCCCTCAGCGAGCAGTGGATAAGTGATCATTATTCATTCAGCTGCAACCATTAAATATGAGAAGCTCATCCAAGGGTTCACATGTGGCCATTCACACTGAAGAACAAGAGGGTCTTGGGGACTCGTTTAAAAAAAAAGATTTTATTTATTTTTAGGGAGGGGAAGAGAGGGAGAGAAACGTCAATCTTGTACGCGCCCCAGGTGGGACCGAACGTGCAACCCAGGCATGTGCCCTGACTGGGAATGGAACTGGCAACCTTTGGCTTCGTGGGATGACGCCCCACCAATGGATCCACGCCAGCCCGGGCTTGGGGTTGTTTCCATGGTGGAAACAGCCCCACCCATAAAAACACCATACTGTGATAAATAATAGTTACACATTATGAAAAACGCAAGGAATGAAAGAAACAAGCCAGAGGGAATGGGAAGAGGGGTTGTCGGCATTAGGTCCACTCATCTTTCCTCTCCCTTCTGAGAACAGTATCATTCCTTTATTTCCTCCTTTACCTCCTCCCAGAGACCCTGAGCCTTTTCCATTTACATAGCAGCACCCTCGAAAAAACGAAACAGAAACATGCATAGATACAGAGGACAGACTGATGGTTGCCAAAGGGGAGGGGGTGGGCGAGTGGGTGAAAGAAAGGCTAGAACAGCAGCGGGCTGAAGCCCGGATCCTCCCTCTGGACTCTCACTGTTTTTATTATTTACTTACTTAGGGGAGAGAGGGGAAGGGAGGGAGAGAGGGAGAGAAACAGCGATCTGGGACGAAACCCACAGCCTAGGCGCCTGCCCCAAAAGGGAATTGAACCAGTACCCTTCCGCTTTGTGGGAGAAGAGCCAACGCACTGAGCCACATTGGTCAGGACTGGATTCAGATTTAATTGATCTGGCATCCATTGTTGGTAGTGGGAGGGGCTGCAGGGAGCTTGAACTAACTGTTTTAGTTTTCTCAGGTGGTTCTGCTCTAGAGCAGAATTCCTCACCCTTGAAAAAGCAAATAGCAGACACTGAAGCCTCTAGCATCCCTGGGATAAATGTTCAAAGTGCACATATCCTGTTTGCCTGGAAAGAGGCAGAAGTTGGCACCTGCCAGGCCCCTTACAGGTTGACCTACCTGTCTTCCCAGCAGGACCACCAGCCCCCAAGACAGAGTCCAGTCAGTCTGGCTCAGTCCCCAAGCCCGGAGGCTAGCACAGTGCCTGGCGCGACACAGAGATGCAGTGGACTGCAAATGACTCCTCTCCCGCCCTAGACCTGGGCACACAGCCTCAGCTCTGAGCGGGTGCTGCCCATCCATGAAGACAGACTTGAGAGCTGGGAGGGGACCCAGGGGGGAGGACAAGGGAGGCGCCGGGTAATCCCGCCGCTGCCCGCACGCCAGGTCCTCCAAGGTGCGCACCGGTCCATCCTGTTTGGTTCACGGCCATACTCCCTAGTGCTCAGGACATAGTTGGGAAATTGAAGTTGACACAGCCTTCCCTTCACCCCAGCCCCGTGCTTGGCTCACGTTGCTCCTTCCGTGTCGGACGCCCTTCCTTGGCCCCCTGCCTGGGAGCGCCCACGCAGCCCTCAAGGCTCAGCCCACACCTGGCCATGTTGCCCAAGTCACAGGCCCACCCCACGGTCACTAAGTGTCCCTACCCGCCGACAGTGGCTCTTGCTGTCTCCTGGAGGTCGTGCCAGAGACCTGGGGTGACTGTTGGAGTTGCTCCTTCCTGGGGCTCAGCTCTGACCTGCCGAATCAGAATCTCTGGAACACAGAACCCGGAAATCTGAATTTTGAAGAAGTATGTTGGCTCATTCTTTTGCCCACGAGGCTTAAGAACCCCTCATGGGAACATTCTTTGTTTCCATGTCTTTCTTCACCACTGGTTTCAAAGGACTTTGAAACGGGTCTGTTAACCTGCTTATGGGCAACCTGGTCAGAAATCTTGGGAGAGGAGCATAGCAGCAGGGGAGGTGGGGGCAGAGGAGGAGGCAGGGCACGGGCAGAGGAGTGGGACCGGATGCAGGTGCACACAGGGAGGGAGGGCTGGGGGCCAGGCCTGCTGGGGAGGCTTCTGGGCCTGGGGAGGAAAGAGCACGGGCTGTCAGCTGGCGGGAGAACAGTGGTAACTGGCTGCGTGGCCTCAGGCAGGCCATGCCTCCGCTACGAAATAATGCGATGGGATTGCTAAGGGCTCCGTCAGCTCTATGAAAAATTGTAAAACTCAGTTTATATCTCACCCTGGGAGGTAAAAGGTCCTGGGCATCACCGGCTCTTAAGCCTATTTTGGACGTCCCTTTGCTAGGGGATCAGCAACAGCGGGTGAGCCCCCACTGAATTGCGAGTGGCCGTATGACGCACCAGTAGGGTTCAGTCACGGCTTCACCTGCCGCCTGTGACCGTGTGGCCTTCCACAAGGCCCACACCTCTCTGGGTCAGCTTCCTCTTTTGTAGGGCGGGGGTAGTAACAGCACACACCTTGTAGGATTGCTCCGAGGGCTCAATGAACCCGCGGACGTGAAGCCCAGACAGCACCTGCCAAGGCCTGGCTGTCCATGCAGCTGGGTGCCAGGCACGGCGCACAGTACTCCTCATAAATGGCCTTATTTAACCATCCCAGGGTGGTTGCCTTTTATAGGCGATGAATCTGAGACAGAGAGAGAGGGACACCCTAAACCAGGTGAGACCCAAACGCAGGAGCGTCTGAGGTGGTCTCACATTCTCTGCCTGCTCTGAGCAGCGCCCACCCAGCCCAGGGACCAGGGGCTGGAGCAGATGATGGCTCAGCGGCCCCCCGGCGCTGAGCTCCCCTCTTCCAGCGACTTTGAAAGGAGCTGGGGAGCCTGTAGGTAGGCTGCGGCCACCGGACTCTGAGCGCCCTGGGCTGTGTCCAAAGGCTCAGCCTCCGGCCCCGGGACACCTGCCCCCGGCCACCAAAGAAAAGCTCTGGGAGTCTCAGTGACTGCCAGCTCAGACGTAAAGGGCTATCTTAGGTGTGAAAACCAACAGAGGTTATCAAAGGTAAGAAACCTAGGAGGCCGAGCACATTGGAGCAAGTCATGCAAACTGAATGCTGACTTGAGACTGATTCTGCCGGCTCCCTGACCCTCAGGTTCACCGTTTGTTGGACGGGGACAAAGGCAGCTCCTAAGGCAGAGGGCGGCCCAGGACGCTTTGAGGAAGTGACGCCTGGGGCCCACACGCTGGGAACTCTGAACAGAGGCAGATTTTCTCCCTGCGTTTCCTCGCTCATTATTCCCCAGGAAGCCTCCTCTCAACGGCAGGCCATGAGGCTGACCTGCAGATTGTAAGTCACAGCCAAATATTTGAGAGCCCTTCTACACAAGGCACGGGGCCAGAGGGACGGAAGGCACTGAGGAGCAGAGTCCCAGCTTCCCTCTCACGCGCTGTCCCTGGACAATCACGACTCGGTTGCCGCTGCAGAGGCCCCGAGAAGCTCCGCGGCGCACACGGCTGTCCCACTGTCTCCAGCCCAGGGTGTCCCGAGGTTGCCAGGCCACAGGAGCCTTTCCTGCTTTTCTGCTTTTGAGGTTTTCTGTCCTTTCAGGCAAGAGGTGGGATTGCGTTTCCCTGCCACCATCCATGTGACTTGCTTTGGTCAGCAACTTTTGAGGTCACTTCTGGATGAAAATCTTGAAGTATAAAATCCCGTACCCCGGCCACGGTGATAAGGGACCCTCCAGGTGGTGGGGCAGATGCAAGGGGGGGGGTCAGTCAAGACTGGTGGGCATGTAGTGTGAGAAATAACCCCGTGAGGGGTTTTTTGGTTACATGCAGCATGATCAAGCCTGTCCTCAAGGATCACTTCGCCTGAAGCCATCTGCTGGCCTTCCCAGAGGTGGGGTTTATGGGGTGCTGATCCGGGCCCACCGGAAGCTGAGGTTCAGCGACTGTGCTGGTTCTCAAGAAAATAACATCCCATGTCTCCGAGGCCGTGAGAGCGGCTGAGCTCCTGGCACAGGCAACCTGGTCGCCAACAGACAAAGGGCGGCTGACCCGGGGCTGAGCTTCGCCCCTGTGGGGTTATGTTGGGGAGCAGCCAAGGGCCAACGGGGTGGGGGGCACGGGGGGGAGCAGATTGGGCATGTGGGCTGGACCCTCACCTGAGCCAAGGGCTGTGGGGGTCCTCGCTCGCTCCAAGGACCACCCCCCGGGGCGGGGCGGCTGTGCACACTGCACAGGTCAGGCACACAGAGCTTTGGCGAAGAGCCCCGCCCCCAGGATGGAGGAGGCCCCTTCAGAGCCTGGGGTCCCAGGGGAGGGGGAGGGACCCTCAGAGGGCCTGGGCCGCGGCATCCAGGGAGGAGGGTCCGGGCCACCTGGCCTGGCGGGGCCATCTGGGGAGTGAGGCTCCCCTCAGCTGGGGGTGTCTGAGGCGGCCCGCTGTGAGGGAAGAGAAGCAACCCCGCAGCTCCCTAGGAAGAGCGGACAGTCAAGGGAAGGCATTTTAAATACCACATTTATTATGAGTCCTCTTTTATTTTTTAATCCTCACCCAAGGATACGTTTTCATTGATTTTAGAAAGAGAGGAAGCGAGGGAGAGAAAGAGAAACAGTAATTGGTTGCCTCCCATATGAACCCCAACCAGGGGTCAAACCCAGAACCCAGGTATGTGGCCCACCTGGGAATTGAACCCACAACCATTTTGGTGTATGGGATGACGCTCCAACCAACTGAGCCACCTGGCTGGGGCTTATTCTGAGTTCTTTTCGGACAAAAGTAATTATCTGCTCACATAGAATTTGGAAATCATAAAAGCACAACAAATAAGAGATTTACAAATACAAGCACAGTGGTGAGCACGGGCAGCGTCGGGCTCTGTGTCCTTCCTGTCCTTTCTGGTCGTGCATGTGACACTTACACACTGTAGCACAGCAAGTCCGGGCCCATGCGCGCCCAGGCTCTGCTGTCTGTCACCAAGGCAAGCCCGTGGCCCCCTGGCATTAATGAGACTACAGGCGGGAAGGTGCCACAAAGGCGGGGTGGGAACCTGACCAGGCAGGAGACCATCTTCACCTGGAGGTGAGGTCCCGGCAGCGCTGGAGGGGGGAAGGGACAAGGGGAGGGGCGCGGGCCAGGGAGCCGCAGCCACTTCTAAGTGAGCATTGTACTTCCAGCACATTCTTAAAAACTTTATAAACCCTGCTCACTGTAAGAAGGTTGAGTCATTTCAAAAAGCACAAAGAAAGCAAGTTTCACACAAAGACAGCCACTGAACATACTTCTTCCCTGGTAAGGACCGCAAAACGCATCTCTGTGTCTGTGACAAAATGCACAGGTTATTGTAAAACACCACTGAGGTGTAGTCGCACCTGTGGTCCTGTCAGAGGAACCGGGAGCCGACTGGGAAACCTGAGTCGGGGGCGGGGCGAGGGGGGTTACAGGGAGTTCCTGGGGGCGTCCCCACCGCATCCCACCCCCCCACCCCTCCCCCCCCGGCCTCCAGGCCCGCTCAGCAAGGGGACAGAGCCTTGTTTGGCGGGTCAGGGAAGAGACCGCCACCCGCCAGCTCTTGCCTCCCTCAGGGGGAGCGCTGCCAGGACAGGAGCCTGGGGCCCGGTCGCCCGGGACACTCGAGGAGCCCCGCGGGGCGTTCTCTGTGCTGGGCGGCCGCTGCAGCTCCTCCAGTCGCCCCTGCCTTTCCGGAGTTCCCAGCTGGCCACAGCCAGGAGAACCAGCTCACGGAGGGTTTGCCCCAGAACTGCACTCCCTGTTCAAGGGTTAGACTGCGCAGGAGAGCGCGCCTTGTCTGAACTTGCTGGTTCTCCGACTCCAGGACCCTTATGCAACGCAGGGGAGAGGTGCAGCTTTCTGTCCCAATGTTGCGGATTATGAACTCATCATCGGTCTTCATTTTGTGACACTCAGACGTGTAAGACACTGTGCCTGCCAACAGATGACTACACCGGGGAGATGGGCGGCCTTGTCTCTTGTTCGTCTCCACGACGGTGGGGGATGGGGTGGGGAGGGTAGTGAGAAAAAAAAAGAAAGCAGACCAGAGGCCCAGGGGAAAATAAGCCAAGTTTACGTTGAGGGCTCCAGTGGAAAGGAGGCCAAGCCTGTTGCATCTGGCTCCTGCCTGGGGGACCAGGGTGACTATCTTGTGCTTGGGATTTTTTTTTTCCCAGGTTTGTTCTAGTAACATCTTACTGATTCACATGATACATAATTCCACAGATAATAAGATTCCCTTATATTTTATACAAAACTCTATCAAATTTAGGTTGGGTCAAAAAGGTGTTCTAAAATACAAGTTACTACCGTCTTTAGTGCCCCCCGACCGGCGGGGCCCTTCGTGAAGAAGGATGGCAGCCCCTCCCGCCTCGCTGTGCACGCCTCTCCCTACCAGCCCCCAAGACTGCACGAAGGGCAGCCCGGCCCAGCCCCCCGTCCAACACCAGCCGACTTAGGAACCTCGCTCTGGACAGCGGAGGGCTACAGGACCAAGACAGGGACAGTGAAGGACCCTCCACACCGAGGGTTCTTTCCAGACGAACAGGCCCGGGTGCTTCAATGTCAGATTGCTTTAACCCCTGGACTGCCACGTAGACCAAAAGCAGCCTCCTGGCTTGTCAACTGCCTGTGGTTTCAGTCCACTGTCCATTCAGCACAGAGGCATGGCGTGCTGAACAGCAGAGTGGCACAAAGATGGGAAAGGTCTGGCACCTCACCAACAACGTCCTAGAGGGGCCTCCTTGAACAAGTCAGAAGCTCTCCCCGACTGGGAAGTGCGGAGGAGGGGCCCCTCCTCTCACCCCGCCCCCGCCCTGCAGAGACCCTGCTCCCCAGGGGGCTTAGGCTGGGCTGCAGGATGGCAGCCCGCAGGGTGGGGGCCAGAGCCACGGGGAGCAGGGAGGCCCATGGGGCCCATTGCCGTGTGGGGACAGCGGCTGGCTGCTCACCAGCGTTTGGGATCCAAAACAAAGAAAGAACGCTGACCCGGCCGCCATCCTCGGTCTCCGAGGGCACGGACGGACACTGCCCACGCCGAAGGCACTGCCACATGCACTATGGGCACTGAGGGGGCCCAGCCCAAAGCCACAGCTCTCCCGGCCGCTCAGGGCTGGGCTGAGGCCAGCAACCGGGCCTCCGGCCCCCCCTCCGGCCACTTGGCACCTTGCAGTGGACGTCCACAGGCGTGGCGGGGCCCATGGGTGCCCTCCATGCCAAGCGGCTCGCCCAGGCACCCCGTGCAGCCCGCCTCTTGCCCAGCCTCCTCCCCCGGCTGGCTGCCGCTCCCCGCCCCCCGGCGTGGCAGTGGGCCCCGGCGCTCGCAGCCAGCACCTCCCTTCAGCCCTGGAACCTACAGACCCCTCAGTCCCACAGGTACCGCTGAGACCAGGTGTCCCGGGCCTTGTCTGGGCCAGTGCAGCCGCCCCCCACCCCGTGGGCCTCAGGCCCCAAGACCCAGCCTCCCCCCAAGGTCACTGTGGTCACTTCCAGTGCAAACTGGATCCCACCAGCCCCTACTTGAAACACTTCCAAGCCTGCCAGCAGAAGTGGCCACCAAGGCCCTTCTCCCGCGCACCCACCACGTGTCAAGTATTTGGGAGGGTCCCCAGAGCCTCTCAAAACCCAGTGAGGTGCTGAGGAGCACCCCCGTGGAACAGGTGAGAGCCGAGGCCCCCATTTTTCAGGATAAGCTTTGACCCTCATAACTGCAACAAGACCCTTCTTGCTATGAGTCCTTGCAGAATCCAGACAGCAGCGTTGCTGGGCCACGTTACGGTGCAGCCTGCAGGGTCCCGCCACGAGCCTGGGGCATGGCTGCTCTGCGGTCAGAAGGGAATGTGCATCAGCGCCACGCTGGCCAGGCTCCCGGAAGCGCTGCCCGGCAGCCCCGCCCCGTGGGCACCAGAGTGACCTCCTGGAGGCAGGCGAGGCTGCCTCACTCCCTCCCTGCGCAGTCCCTGCGGCCTCTCTCCCCCGACACAGGGCTCGAGCAGGAGCTCTCCCACCACCTCCCTGGGCTCCGCAGTCCCCAGCGCAGACAAGCTCCCGGCCGGCGCCCAGGGACCATGGACCGACGCAGCTGCCTGGCGGGAGACATGGCCCCCTGCGCTGTAGGCTAAGCTCCTTGTCACCTACTGGGCACTCAGCAGTGTCTCTAGAGTGGCGCACGAGGCCAGATCAGGTGAAAGGAATGCCCGCTGGGCCCACGCAAATCAGCTACCTGAAGGCAGGGAACATGTGCGCCACCACCCGAGAACAGGTCTGGCAGGTCATGGACTGCAGCCACTGCATGTCATCCCAGATGTCCGGAAGCCACATCACCAGTCTGCAGGGATGAACCCGGACACACGCATGCACGCGCGCGCACACACACGCACATTCTGTGTCAGCGTGCAGACGCACCCAAACAAAGAAAACCAGACACAAACTGACCACTAGGCAGCTGTCTTACGACTACCCCTGGTCCAGGTAAACCGCCAGGGTCCCCGTCTGACCCCAATCCGATAAATTCCCAGAAGGGGGACTGGGGACAGGCCAACTGAAATGCCCCAATGCTAGGCCCCTTGCGATTTGGGAAAGCACGAGGGATTTACACAGAAATCAAAGGAGAAGGCTTTGGTTTTCCAGGCTTCTGCTTGTCTGTGTGGCTCGTCTACTTGTCTACAGGTCTGAAGCCTGGAGTGTGGACACCACCCCCTCCACCAGCCTGAGCTTGGCCCCGTGCACGTCCAGCTCAGGAAGCCGCCGAAGAGGCCTGACCGCTGCCCCCCAGGGACTCCCAGCCCCCAAGACACAGAAAGGACCCCGTGTTTGGACTTTGACAAAGCCTGAACCCGAGGCCAGGGCGTGGCAGTGTGGGCACAGGGGCCGATCGCGGGGTGGGGAAGGGACCTGCGGATGGGCTGACGGGCACCCTAGGTTAACTCACTCAAAGGAAGGGAGACCCCCACGTCAACGTGAGGAAAGCGGCAGAAAACAAGTGCCCAGGATTCTAGCGTGTGCCCGCCTTGGCCCCACATCCTTCGCTACCCTGAATAACATCCCCAAATGAAAGGGCGGACCTGCAGGAAGCGATGAACGCAGGACAGCAGTGAGAAGGGAGGTGGGCCGGGCAGGGCCCACCCTTCAGGCGCCTTTTGGGGAGGTCCCAGGAGCTGTGACCTCTACGCCTGCTGCCCAGGGGTCAGGCCCCAGGCTTAGGGCCTTATGGAATCTCTCACTCAACCCCACGATGGAGACGCAAAGCCGCGAGGACGCTCACCTCTGCACCACGGCGATGGCAGACTCCACGGGCAGCGTGCAGGGCAGCAGCGCGTAAGACAGAACCTTCACCGGGAAGAAGCTGTGAATCTTGCTCATGAAGCCACCTCGGTTTTTAACCATCTCACTCAGCACTGAAAAGCACAGTTTGGGGGTGTGTCTCTCACCAGTGTGAAACCCAAACCACCTTACGGAGGAGGTGCTTGGAATCGCACCCCAGTACACAAGTTCCGGCAGCCGAAGCACCGGAAGCGTTCGCCAACGCGGTCGGAGGCGGGATGCGGCCGGACAGCCCTGGGGCGGCCGCAGGGACAGGGCTCCCAAGAGCAGTCCTCTAGCCAGTGGGCGGCGACTGCAGGAGAACACAAACCTCTCCGGCAGGCACCGGCTCTACGGGCTCTCCCGCCACCTTCAGCCGAGTCCCGACTCCGTGGGCCTGGGCCCCCAGCCTTCCCTTTCCCCTTCGCAGCGATCACGTGGCGCCGCAACCAGAGGCGCCTGCGCAGCTGCCGTTCATGGCCCCCTAGGGCGTTAGCGGGGCGGCCGGGAGGGCGCTCTGGTCACCTCTGAATCTCTCCAAATGCCTGAGGGGAGCTGCTCTGTGCACTCACTGTCTATCTGATATTTCACCCCAGCACAAAATATGCTGCTGCTGTTCAATGGAAAGCCCCAAACTGTCGGTCTGGGGGACGGGGACACCAGGAGAGGCCCCTTGGCAAGAAGGCTCTGAGAATGGCACACGGGTAGAGGACGGGGCCCACACCCGGGGTCCCCGAAGTCCAGTGAGCCTGGACCCCAGGAGTTGGGGGCACGCCCACTTCACTCAAAACGGGCTGGCTGAAGTCTGTTCTTTTCTGGCCGCATCCGCGTGGGAAGGGACACTGGGCAAGGCGCCAGGGTGCGGGGAGGCCCAGCCCCAGGGCAGCACTGCCTTCCTCCCTCTCCCCCGGAATGAAGCCCTTTCAGTCCCTCGGCAGCAGAAAGCAAGGCCCCGGGACCCGCCCCCCAGGAGCCGGCACCTGCGGTGAGCGAGGGCCACAGCATCTCCAGGGTGTTCTCGTTCCAGGGCGGGACGCTGTGACGCAGGTGGTCCAGTAGCCCGTCACCCTCACGCATCGGCTGCCAGGCCGCCCCCTCTGGGGAGGCCTCCAGGCTCATGGTTCCCCAGGGAACAGCCAGGATTCCTGGCCCTCCCGAGGACAGAGTCCGGCTCGGAGGGGGCCTGTCACCGATGCCTGCCAAGGGCGCGGAGGGCTGACGTCAGGCAGATTTGGGCGGCAGGGGTCATGACCCGCCCCCACCGCCAGATGACGGTAAGCTAGCGGCCACCAGGAGCCGCAGGCCTGGTCCCGGCTCAGTACTGGGCAGGGATGGATGAGGACAGGCTTTCGTCACAGGGAGAAGGAAGCACAGGGCTTTGGGGCCACAGCAACGCAAGACGGGCCCCAGCTCAATCCCTCACTCGCTGCATGGGTTCCACAGCCACACACGGATGCGTGAAACGCAGAGGTGAGGATGGTATGAATTCACAGTAACTGGCATTACCCCGCTGGTTACGCCTGCACCCCAGGCCCTGAGTGGGGACCCTCACAGCCAGGCCTCGCTGCAGCCACGCAGCGGCTACCAGCAGCATCATCTCCACTTCCCGGCGAGGAATCAGGAGGGCAGAGAGGTTCCGAGATGTGCTCACCCAAAGCCGCAGTCAGCCTGTGGCAGACCAGGATTTGAACCCAGGCCTGACACTCTTCCATCCCGCGACCCTTACGGCAGCACTAGGCAGGGGAGTTTGGGTGGCCGCTGCCCCAGGGTCAGGGCTCCTGCTCCAGGAATGGGCACGCAGGGTCGGGGGGTGGCGCAGAGGCCCCTGGCTGCCCTGGCTCCCCTGCTGCTTCCGACCTCAGGCTAAAAAGACCAGGGCCTGCGCCCAGATGCCTGCGCTGGGCTCCCCAGGCCACGCCTCCATTTTTTCTTCTCTCTAGATCTTTCCGGGGCCTCTCTCAGACACCATGCTCACTGCCCCCGGGGCTGGGCTGTGCCTTAGGGGACAGAATCTGTCCCCGAGGACCGCAGCTGCCGCACCCCACGCATCCTCTCCAGGACCCGGGCAGGCCCACCTGGCTGAGGACCACACTTAACGCATTTAAACCCAAACCCAGCAATGATGACGTAAGCGCTCGGCCATACACCAGCCTTTAGAAGGACCAAGAATCACCTCCTTCAACCCAAACTGCTTGCCACAGCAGTGGGCCCGGAGGCCGGGGCGGGGAGGCAGCTTGCCCACAGTCCCTGAGCGACCTGAGCCCACCCCACAGGCCTGTCAGCGCCATCTGTTCCCAGGCTGCCTCACGTGGCAGCCCCGTCCAGGTGCCCTCCAGAGCCCGACCCCAGTCGCCTCATTGCACAGCCGCCCACAAGCCACTGGGGCAGCGCACACCTGCAGGTCCCGCATGCTCCCTCCTGCGGGCCCTTAACCTGTGGGTGGAGCTCTCCCTTCTCCAGCCCCAGCTCCTAAAGCCTTCTTCTTCCCAAGCCTCTGATCAGCCACCTCCAAGTCCTGTCCCCTCGGGGCCCCTTCCACTCCCCTCACGGCTGCCCTCTGCGGAGCGGCTGCACGCGGGCCCGCCCCTCTGCACTGCAGCCCGCCCTCCCTCTGCTGCGGCGCCAAGCCTCCGGCAGCCTCCCCGCTCCCCCGTCCATCTCTCAGCATCCCCAGCCACGCAGGCCTTCTTTCCACCCCCCATCCATCCACCAAGTGTCAACGTGGAGTCACGTCCTCCTGGAAGCCCTACTTTCGCCCATGCCTGGCAGGTCCCTCCTGCGTGTCCTGTGGTGTCTTGAGTCCCCCTGTCCAGGCGCGCTTGCTGCGCGTCATCCTCCCGCTGACGGACCTGTGCTGCTGACTGAGGGCTGTAAGCTCCGGGAGGCCGGGGCCACAGCTGATTGTTCACCGCAGCATCCCTGGCACACCTGCTAGGTAGGCGCACAGTAAATATTTGCTGAGTAGACAGCACGTGCCTATCCTTTTACCCAGTCTTCTAGGGCTTGGCCAAAGGCTGACTGAGACAATCAGTACGTGAACCCATTGTCAGTACTGAAGAAAAATAGCTCCAATCACATCTAGTCTTTGGTTGCACTTGAATGTTTCTGGAGCTCAACCCTGCAGCCCCGATGAGCCAGCATGGCTCACAGACAGCAGCTTGTCCCAGAAAGGACAGTGTGGCAGGGGGCGTCACCTACACCTGACTGGAGACAACTCCCCTCGCCGCCCTTCCGGGGGCCCAGACCCAGAAACCCTGTCTGAAGCCTTCACACAGGGGGCGGTGCTGGGGAAGGAGAGCGCCCTGGAGCCCTGGAACCGGACGCCCCCAGCTTGAATCCCAGCTCCACCCCTCGGGAGCAGGCTACGCTCTCTGGCTAGCGTCCCCCAGCCTCCACTTCCCCATCTGTACAGCAGGGGACAGAGTGGGCTGTCACAACAGGCTGCGAAGGCCCAAGGCCGGGGCCTCCCTCTCAGGGCTTCTGAGGCTGCCAACAGCCCCAGAGAGGGCTTGCCAGGGCCCCGCCCACACATACCATTTTCTTCCAGGAACCTGGCTGCGTCCAAATACCCTTGCAGGCAAATCTCGCCCAGCACCTGCAAGCCAAGCCGGCAGGTGAGGATGGGGCAGGCACCTCGGGCGCCGTCATTTACACTGAGGACCCCCCCAAACCCCAGGTCGCTCCACAGGCCGGGCACACTGCAGTGAGCTACCAGCAGCCCCTCTTTCCTGAGGGGCTCAGCCCAAACGACACCCCTGCATGGAGCCTGTGCTGGTACCCCAGTGTGACAGGGACCGATCCTCGTTTCACCGGGACAGTAACAGTGTCCTATCCTCGCCTACACACAAAACACACACACCCACCAGCCGTCACCCAGCCGCGCCCCGGCAGGACCGCACGTGGGGGTGCACGCTGCCCTGCGGCCTCCTTCCTCCTCGATCCCCGCTAGGTGCCCGCAGCCCACCCGTCTCCTTCCTGCTGGGGTGCTAAGGTGCACAAAGCAACCAGCACAGTGTGGTTGTGACCGTGGCCACAAGAATCACCTGGGGAACTCCGGCAACTCCCACCGCCCAGGCCGGTGTGGCTTGGTGGGCTGAGCATAGGCCTGCGAGCCAAAGGGTCGCCGGTTTGATTCCCAGTCAGGGCACGTGCCTGGGTCATGGGCCGAGAAACAACCCATTGGATGTTTCTCTCACATGTTGATGTTTCTCTTTCTTTCTCCCTTCCACTTTCTCTTAAAAATCTAAAAATAAGTAAATAAAATCTTTAAAAAAGAAAAAACAAACTGTCACTGCCCAGGCTGCACCCAGCCTGCGTTCGTCCCCCAGGATCTGTGGGGACGGGCCCTAGGACCCCTCTTACCCGTGTAGCCTCTTACACAAAAGTGGCGCAGGACCTGCACACAGGCTGCAGCAGTGCACACCTACACCCTGATCACGTGGCTCCAGCAAAGGCCTCAGTGAGTGCTGAATTCAAGTTTTGCGTTTTGGGACATTCTGGAATTTTTTTATTATTATTTTTTTTTAAAGAGCGAGGAGAGGGAGGGAAAAAGAGAGGGAAATAGCGATAGGCTTCCTCTCACACGCACTGCGACCAGAGACCAAACCTGCAACCCAGGCACACAATGTGCCCTAACCGGGAATCAAACCTGCGACCCTTGGGCTCACAGGCCGATGGGATCTGAGGAGCCGTGCAGTTTAAATGTCCCCAGGTGATTCTGATGACCCACGTGGGGCAGGGCTGACCTTCTGGGACGAGGGATTCTTCTCCAAGTCCCTATCCAATGAGGGTTCTGTTTTTGTTTGTTTGCACACAGAGCCACGCTGGTGGGTCTCCAAGCCAACAGAGGAGCAAGAGCTGCGCCCCCAGAGCACACAGCCCCTCCCCCGCTTACCTTGATGTCCAGGGGGAGCAGCATTTGGCTTATCAGGTGGATGTACTCTGAGCAGAGGTGTAGACTGAGCTTGTTCACATCCATGTGTAAGAAATTTGTGGACTTGACCTTAGGGCAGATGTCGTACTCCCCGTAGAAGGGGGAGACGGTGATGGTCGTTTTGGCATCGAGGAAGGGCATACTGTTGCTGACTCCTCCATCCACATATCGCTTTTAATGGAGGGGGAAAAAACCATCCTGTCAGAACCGGGGGGCTGGGATTTCCTCATTTTTCAGGTCATGGGCAGAGGCCTTTCCGTGCCACAGGCTGATCCCGGGGAGGACCAGGCTTGGGGATCCCTGCTTACTGCTGTAAAGATTGGGCACTGCACCAAAAGCGCCCGGCAAGGGGGCAAACAGAGGCTGGCATCTGGCCCTCGTTGTTCGGGTCGAGTGCTGAGCCCACGCTGGCACCGGGGGTGTGCCCGTGACATGTGCTCAAAGGGGCATAGAGACCAGGGCACCGTGTGCCCTAGGGGTGGTGCGAGGTAGACCCTGCCCTGAAGGCAAAAGGGGCCCCCCTCCAGGCCCTCTTGCTGCTTGGGAACTCGTGGAAAAGATAACCCGTGAGCTCCTCCCTCTCCACACCTTCAAGATGAGGACCAAGCCCTTGAGGAAGTCTGGAGACTGCAATGAAGCAGCGAGGCCGGGAGCTGATGGCCCTCAGAAAACATCCTCTTACCCCACCACAGGTGTCCTCTGCGCTCAGGGACCCTGAGCCCCCGTTTCCGGCGTCCACTCCCACCCACCACCTTCGGCCGGCCAAGCAGTCTTCCGTACAACGTGGACAAACCAATACCGGGAGTACTGCTCCAGCTGCGACAACCTAAACTGTCTCCAGACAGGACCAGCTGTCCCGGGGTGGGGGGACCGTGTGATCTGCGGTTGGCAATGGCCGCCCTAGAAGGAGGCTGCGATCGGGTCCAGCGCAGGCCCGCGGGCAGCCCGGCGCGCACAGACCACATGCCGCCACCGCTGCTCCTCCGCCCCCGCCCGCAGGGCTCAGAACGGCTGTGTGGGTTTCCATCTTTGCTGAATGGAACCAAATGGCAGCCCCATCGTCAGCTTCTGCCCTGAACAGTCAGTCCCAGAGAGGACAGAAACTGCCCACCTCTGAGGATAGAGCTCTACCTTACGCAAGCTGCCGATTCTTAAGCACCTTAGACTTCAACTGGGCCACTGGGCACCTATCCTTGGCACTCATGTGAAGATTACGTGAACCAGTTTAGCTTACAGAGAGCCAGGTAATGGTTCTTGGTGAACTGGTTCTGCTGGAGATGAAGGGGAGTGGGAGTGGGCAGACAGCTCTGGAACCTGCGTGGAGGCTGAGCAGCACAGGCGCTGCGTCTGGGGTCCGAGGGTGCGTGAGTCTAGCGCCTTGCGGGCAGGTGCTATGCGAACCCAGCTGCAAAGCGGACTTACCAGGCCCCTGAAGGAGGGGGGATCAGGGCGCAGAGGAAGGGGATGAAGGTGGTGCACACCAAGGCCTGTGAAGACAGAGGGAGTGAGACCACGGGTTGTCCCCTGGGCCTCCATCGGCCTTTTCTTTACAAGTAGGCCGAGCAGCAAGCCCGAGAACGCCCTCGCGATGAGTAGGCACTTCAACAAACGGGTTCAGTGAACAGTGAAACAACCTACAGTGTTGTATTCCAGGCTAAGTATAAACGCCTTCACAACGCTGTCCATGGACGTCCACGTCCGGTCCCTGCTCCCTGAGAGCCACAGCGGGCCAGCGCAGAAGGGACCGAGCGCTGTTGGCTCGCTGACTGACTGGGAGGGGACTAGGTTGGAGCTATAGCTGGTGGGCCCGCAGACTCTGGACCTCAGCTCAGGGCTGGGGTGCAGCAGGTCAGAGGTGGGTCCGAGAGTGCAGTTCTACCAAGTGCCCGGGGGCCGCCGACGCTGGTCCAGGACCACACTCGGAGCAGCACCGCGCAACAGCGCGTGGAGCAGGACACGACACTGACTCACTGAGAGAACAGGCTCCCGGGGGAACGGACAGGTGCTGGCTGTCTGGAAAAAGCTTCCCTAAGTAAAGTTAAACGGAAGGTGGGGGTGGCTGCTGCTCCCCTATACAGACACGTGTTAAGTGAAACGTTGTCCATTGAACTCGCATACAAGGCATCGGCCACATTAAATGGTATTTTGACACTGTAAACAATCTCCTCTGCGCTAAGCCCTGAGGACAGAAGCACATAAGACATGTCCCCACCTCCTGCGGCTTCACTCAAGGGGTTCCCATTAAGGAACATGCATCGTTTGGAGGAGGGACACCGTGGGACAGGGTCCCTGGAAGAGGTGGTCATGAGCCGAGTCTGGAAGGACGGGGACGTGTTATGTGACACAGAAACTGTCCTGGGACACACAGGGTTTACGTGTGTTGCAGACCAGACCACTGGGACCACCAGCGTTTAGGTGCCAGTGCTGCAGGTACTTCTGCATCGCCGGAAACAGGGCAGGCGGCCTGTGAGAGCCTTCTCTGCGTGCCTTCCAAAATAAGACAGCCTTTATTATTTGACAACACCCAGAGAGGCCCAGTACTTACATCCACAACTTCATCTTTGGACTGAAAATCGGACACCAGGATGTTCTCCCAATCGGACACTCGGGTGAGAGAGATGCTCACTTTGCCGGAGATGAGCTGGTGGACGTTGGCCAGGAGGAGTCTGTTGAGGGACTCTCGGATGTACCGGCTTATGTTGAAGAACGGGTGCAGAATGCCGATGTTCCGGCTTCTGACGTCCTGGACTAGTTCTGTGACGTGCGGCAGGATCTGTTCTGTGGGGGTCGGAGACAAATACACAAAGGGATGTGCCACCCAGGACACGGGACTGTGTGGCAAGACCAGCAACTGCTGGCAGAAGACCATTCAATGTGCCTACGAAGCCCTTAAGATGGGGTTTGTCCAAACTGAGATACGTAAAAGAAACACAGGATTTCAAAGGTTTAATACAAAAACAAAAGAATGTAAAATATCTCAGTACTGATTAGATGGTACTGTTTTGGCTACACTGGGATCAATAAAATTAATTTCACTTGTGCCCTTTAAACACTTTTTCTGCATCCTGCAAATCGGGATCGTGAAATGGCATCTGCAGCCTGTACTGTATTCCTCTTGGATAACGCCTGTCCAGGCCCTGGCTCCGGGAACGAGCCCCCGGAGGCCCAGGGGAGCTCTGCTCACCCCCGTCCCCTCCGCATCCAGGCGCTGGAGCCTCCTCGGCGTCAGCGCCTCAGCACATGGGCCCGGGCTGTGGGGAGCAGAGAACACTGCAGGCCGGCGCCAGCGCTGGCATCCTGCCTCCGCCTCTCACTAGCCGAGTGGCCTCAGCACGTCACTCCACCACCACTCGAAGTCTCAGGCTGTACGTTGTGAATGTGGGACAGTGTTTCCCTACCTTTTGAAGACAGAGGCTTGCATTCACTACAACCTGTAAGGTATTTGACTCAGAGGAGGCACCTAATAAGTAGCTACACTTAACATTTAAACTCTGCCGCCAGAATTACCACACTGTCTAGTGGGCATGGGGCACATGGACGCTCCATCTGACCCCGCTCACTGGTCTGGCCCCCTCTGTCTGACCAGCGCTGCCCTGGCACGTAGGACTGACTACCAGTCCCAGCCCAATGCCTAGCCAGTCATACTTCCTGGGGTGCACAAGGCCAGACACACACCAGGCTGTCCTGACCTGCTGAAGAACTCACCCCAGCTCTCCCTACGTGTGTGGGCCCGCTGAGCCCAGGCAGAAGAGGCAAATGTGCACTCAGGTCTACCAGGCTCTCCGTGCAGGTCGGCCCTGGCTAACAAGCACTCTCAGAAGCTCTGCTCGAAGCTCAGCCCCACACCGCCGTCCCCTACCCCCCCGGATATGCTCCTTGGAGGTCCCCAAATGAGGCAGGAGGTTAAAGCCAGAATCTGGGGAACAGCTCCTGCCAATACCTCCAGACCCATCTTCTAGGCACTTGGTGGTCCCCAAGTCTCCCCCCAACTCCTGGCTGCAGGGCAGTGCCCCAGACTGTACCTGTCCTCTGCAATCAGGACCCCCTACCCTGGAGTCAGTGCACTTCCAGTCCTGGGGTCAATGCATCAGAGTTGGTCCCACTTAAAACATTCACCACGTGGGCATCTACAGGTCACCCTGGGGTACAAGGGCTGGCCATGTGGCCGGCTGAATCCTCCCTGAGGTCATATTTCTGCCCTTTGCTCCTCTCCTCACTCCCCGCCGAAGGAGAAGGCAGTCAGGGTGGACTCGCTCCTAATCTCCACCTCCCCGTCAGCCCCGGGTCCACTCCAATGGCTGGCTGCGCCTACTGGCCAGAGATTCCTGGTCACCAGGAGCAAAGTTGGTCCCTGCTGGCCGAGTCCAACAGAGCAGTCCCCGGGCACAGCAGAGCGTACATGGTCAAGAACCCCAGATAAACTGGGGTTGATAAGGTGCATTATCTTCCCATCTGGGGACCACTGGGTGCCAACAGCTCTGGTGCCACTTGCTCCTGGCTGTACCCCTGACTCAGAACCCCAGGCCAAGGACGCTACACTCTAGTAGTTGAGGCCAGCTGGGCACAGTCCCCTCATCCCTCCCTCCCTTTCCCTTCCCCCTCCCTCCCCCCTCCCTCCCCCGCACTGGCATCCACATGCACAGATGTTAATGAGAACAACACACAAACGGGCAGGCTTTCAATTCCAGTGGTGCTGAGTGGGGTGTGGCAGGGGTGCAGGGCATGTCCAGGGATCCACTCCAGCCCCCGGGAAGGGTCTGAAACACTAGAAAAGGAGAGGAGAGAGCTTTCCTACTCGCCTCAATACACACAACATCCCCCCAACTCCTCCGATCCAAACCAGCAAGTAGGCTCAGGGGGGTTCAGAAGAGTCGCCCTCTGGCGGAGACGCATCCAATCCCCGGCGGGCTGGGCCGCACCAAAGGCGCCCGGAGCCGGTAGGAAGATGGTGGTGTGTCTCCAGTCGCTTACGTCCCCGAAAGAAAGAAGGGGCCCATCCTGAGGCACAGGCCAAATCCCCTATCCGGGTCGACCCTTGGCAAACCGGCCCTTCCCGTCGGCAGCTGAGCTTGCCTAGGGTCTCTGGAGCAGGTGGCGCGGACCGCTAGGACCAGCTCCACCTTCGCCTCCTGGGTTGCGCTCCCTTCTCCGCGTGGCTCCAGGGTGACCTAGTTCTCAGTCGCGGGGAAGCGGGGCTTCCTTCAAGCCCAGGAGCCACAGCAGGGTTGGGATGGGAAGGCGCTCGGGGTTCCTATGCACGCTCAGAGGAGCCGCCCCCCAGGTGCTCCCCGCTCCCAGGCCGGGCGACCGCGCCCACCCGCGCGAGGCGAGAGGATGCATTGGAGAAGGCACCTGTCTACGGGATGTACCCTGCAGGATCAGTGTCCACACTCAGGTCCACCGGACGCCCCTCAACCCTTGGGAGTCTCCCCCAGCCCAGGCCTGGGGGCGCCCCCTCCCGGCAAGAAGCCCGGTGGCGGCCCTGAACGTACCGAGCGGGACACCGGCGACGAAGGTGATGCAGTGCAGGGCCCCGACCGAGGCACCGAAGAACATGCGCGCGTCGCGGAGGAGGTGCGGGGCGCGCTCTCTCAGGCAGTGGGTCGCCCCGACGTGGTAAAAGCCCAGGAAGCCGCAGCCCGCGAAGGACAGGCTCCAGCCACGCTCCGGATCGTACATAGCGGCTACGCGTCGGGGGCGCGGCGTCGGGGTTCTGGCTGCGCGGTTTGACGCCTGGGGTTTGGGTCCGCCGTCCACAGCAGTTTAATCCGACGCCCGCACGCCGGCACACGCTCTACGCCAGGCTTCCGAACGGCAGCTCAAGCGTTCACTGCGTGACGTCAAGCCCTGCCGCCCCGCCCCCTCAGACCATGCAAATAAGCGCGCGGGTGGCCCAATCAGGGGCAGAACGCCCACTCCTAGGCTAGAAGAGCTCTGGGCGTGGCCAGAGGCGGGGCCGGGGCGGGGCCGGGGCAGACCTGCGCCTGGGCGTGGGCAGGGTGGGGAGAGTTTTCTGTCACTCCCAACGACCCGGCTGTCCTGGACTGGGAGAGACAGCTTCCCTGTCCGATCCTTTCCATTCCTTAAGTCAGGTAGAAAGCAGAGGTTCAATTGCCCACTTAGATCTTTAGTATTTTATTTTTCATCCTCACCAGAGGGACTTTCTTTGTTCACACCTTTTTAGAGAGACGCGAGCCCGGACAGGTGTGGCTCAGTGGACTGAGTGCTGGTCCCTTAGCCATAGGGCCGCTGGTTCGAGTCCCAGTCAGGGCACATGCCTGGGTTTCCAGCCAGGTCCCCAGCTGGGGGTGTGCAGGAAGCAACTGATCCGTGTTTCTCTCACACTCTCTCCCTCTCTTCCCCTCTCGTCTCACTAAAAATAAATAAAATCTAAAAAAGAGAGAGGGGAGAGAGAAACAAAACCAAACAATTTGATCGACTTCACAAGGTTTTACCTTCCCAACCAAGAACACTTAGGAGCAGCAGGTTCACACATTGCAGACCTTCCCCGGGCACCCCTCTCCAATAATGTTCTTGAAAAATAAAACTATGCAGAAAGTAATCCCTGACGCCTCTATATGCACATTTTGATGAACCAACATATTGAAGGGTGCACCTGAGAAGCTAATGAACATGCTAAGACCCTCCTGAGACCTCCCCTAAATTTCAGCGCCAAAAAAAAAAAGATAAAAAGCCTCAAGACAATCCAAGGTGCACTCTCACTGGAACACATTCACACCTTGTGTCTCTGCTGTTTGTCTCCTAAACTCTAAGGGTCCCCACAAAACTTGCAACCGGGGGAGCAGCAGGCAGCAGCAGCTCGTCCCGGGCTAACCCCCTAAACATATCTCCAAGGCCCCCTTTTTCTCTGACTTCCCAGTGAGCTTTTTTTTTTCTTTTTCCTGTGACTTTTATTTCGTAGGAAACCAAAGGAGCCCTGCCTAAGCTCTCTCCTACTGCTGCTTCTACTCTAAGCCCTTCCTTCGTTTCGCTGTCCCCAGCTTTAATAAATGTGCTCTCAAGATCCCCTGGACTTATGTTGTGAGTCTTTCCTGCACAAAGTCAAGAACCCACGCACAACAGGTGGGCCCAAGGCAGACCCGCTCGGGGTCCAGGACCTGTTTGGGGCCGCTCCCACTGGCCGTGCCAGGAGAGCATGGACTTGGGTGAACTTGGGGGTCAGACAGACACTCCTGGCCACATGCCAGAGGCCATGTTGCTAGCGATCAGCATGGCCCCACCTGCCAGAGATGGTGGGCTCTCTCCTACCCAGTGGGGCCTTAGTGGTGCTTATTAAAGGAAGAAATGAGTGAACGAGTGTATGAACGAATGCTAAAATGATGTCCTTTCCCTGCGTCAGGCCAATCATGGAGGCTCCTTCCAATCTAACCACCTTCACAGACCTACACATTTTATTAGCGCATCGTTTCAGCTGTTCTTTAGTATCTTAGGTGCCATCTTAGATGGGTCCCTCCACCAGCCATGGACCCGGGGACAAGGACTTGAGGGCAGAGTGGCCTCAGGAGGCGTCCGAGCAGGTAGGGAAATGAGAAGGGAAGAGGTCTGAATGGGGAGGTACTACTATGGGTAAGTGGGGTTCAGGCCTGCTGGGGTGCTCGAGACGAAACAACACACCACGGGGTCGGGGGGGCACTGGGATGTCAGTCCTCCGACACTCATCTGCCCTTGGGGGCCGTGGGAGCAGCCGCTCCATGCTGCTGGGACCGGCTGAGCCGAGCGACCAGAGCTGGCAGTAGGAGGATGTCCTTGGGCGGGGAGGACAGGGTGATGCATGGGGCGCCAACGGTGGGGGGGCCTTGGGCCATGGGGGTGGGGGAGGACAGGAGTCAGAGGCTTATGAAAGGATGGCCCCCCGGGGTGGGGGGCAACGCTGGAGCTGAGGGGCCCACCAGGCGACCATGTGGTTTGGGGAAAGTGTACCAACTGCTTTTTATGTCTCCCACCTTGAAATTCAATTTAAAAAATTGGAACGGTTTAAGGTGTTCCGGAAAAACTGGAGTTTGTGTTTCAAAACTGTGGGTTGGTACGTAGGTATACGTCATTTGACTTTAAAAAATTCTACCTCTTTAAAGTGGCCTGGAGGCATTTGTAATGAACGAAACAGGCTGTCCTTGAAGAAGCTGTGATGAGGAGGAGACAACAGGCATTAAGAACACACACCCAACTTACAAAAAAGATCAGAGGAGGCCCCACACCAGCTGCAAACTCAGCGCTGCTCCCTGCGGCCCGGGTGAGAAGGCTCCGCAGAGGGAGGAGGGCCAGCAGCTGCGGACCAGCCTTCAGGAGGGGCACGGGCTGAGCACGAGCGGCGGCCCACTCTCCAGAAGGAAAGGCGCCATTGGAAACAGGAGTGCCTAGGCTGCCCCAGGGGACAGGGCGCCGGTGGGAAGGACTAGGTGACCGGAGACCGCATGGGACGAGGCCCCTGGGATGGAATTTCTGGCTGGACTCCGCCTCTAGAGACAGCTCTGTGTCAACCGATGATCATTGGCACCACGTCAACGCCAACAGGAGTCCCCACTTTAGGGTAAAGACAGAAACCACTGGAAGACAGCTCAGCTGTGATACAGCATGGCTGGAGGCAGCCCTGGTGCTAGACAGCTCCGCCCCCTGCTGGCCGGCTCAGTTCTGCTCCATTCTCTGCCAGTCTGCTCTGGCCTGCGCTGGTTTTCTCGAGACATTTTTGGTGGTTTTGCTCCAGTTGGGGAAAAGCAGTCCCCGGTGGAAAAGGAAAACGCACAGCCACAGGGGAGATGACTTATATAGACAGCAGCCTCTGCCCTAGGTCCCTGATCGGTGCATGCTCATGCAAATAAGGACTCCAAGTCCTCGCAGTTTGATTGGACCAAAAGGCACTGTCCTGATTGGTCAGAATGGAGCCATTCTGTTTGGTCCAGGAAGGACCAAGGGAAGATGCTGGGGATATAACAGCGTGGCTCCAATGGGATGAAGAAAGCCTCAGTGCTATTGGTTGAAACAGGATTCTGGACACTTCTTTGTACAGGCCGGCTGGATGGCAGGAACTTAGTGCTGGCAGGCAGTTCAGTGCAGGCTAGATGGCAGAGCTGAGATGGAAACACATCTGTCAGTGTGCGGAGTTCATGCTTTTGCTGCCCTGGAACAGAGCCTGTGAAGGCAGGCAGGGCAGGGGCTGCTGGGGCCAGGGGAGGGGACCAAGCCATCCAGAGTCCTTGTACAGTGCTTCTGGGTGGGGCCTTCTGAAAGGACATCTGGCGGCGTGGGGCCAGGTACTTAACGTCCCTGGGCCTCAGCACGAAATGAGGAAAATCTGAGCACCTGACCTCCTAGAGTCATTACTGGGATTAGATGAGTCAATAGTTTGAAAAGTGATGAGAACAGCTTATTAATAAAGAGATGAATAGGGTCCGAGAGAGAGTCAGGGTTTGAGGCCAAAGGACAGTGAACAGCAGGAAGAGGGGCACAGGAAGAGGGATCCCATGCCAGCCACGGCCTGTTACCCAGACCTTCTCACTTAGTTTTGCAATAACTTTATTGGGCATGATATTGTTTCCACTTCATAAGTGAGGACACAAGGCAAAGAGAGGTCAAGGATCTTGCCCAAGACCCAGCAGGTGACAATGGAGAATTGGAACTCACACTCTGAGACTGGCAACTGCTTCGTGCTCGCATGGAAAGAGGTTCCCTACTCCTTTCCCCCGGATGAACGCAAAGGCCTCTCTTCTCGAGTGGCCCAGGGCCAGGACTCTGAGGTCTGTCCTCCTACCTCCCCTCTCAGCTCCCCCGCCCCCGCCGGCTTCACCCCCGCCCAGCGGCCTGGGGGCCCAGCCCAGCCGCCTCCCCACTCCTTCTGCGCCCCAGCGCCCTGCCCGCGCCCGGCCTCCTCAGCTAGGACAGAGCACTGGGGGAGGGGTCACCCCACCCGCAGACTTTGAGGCCCACACAGATGCCACTCATTTCATACAGCAGGTGTTCTCACTTCAAGAGACAAAGAGCAGTTTTGACAAAGAGCAGGTTTGATCCCCAGTCAGGTCGCATACAGGAGGCAACTGATAGATTTTTTTCTCTCACCCCCGCCCCTGCTCCCTCCCTTCCTCTCTCTAAAATAAAAATCAAGTGAGGATTAAAAAGGAAAAAACATCACCTGGAGGGCATATTTCCTAAGTCCTCCCAAGGCCCTTTGGGAGGATGGGAGGCAGAGCAGATTAAGGGAGAAAGGAAAACTGCCTGGGTGTCTGACTGTGAAAGGGGCAGTTCCCGCACTCCCCGAGCTCCCAGCTGTCCTGTCCTCGCGTAACCAGGAGCAGGGGGCAGGGGGCAGGGGGCAGCTCCTGGCCCCTTGTCAAGGCTGGGCTGGGTCCAGCGCCCCAGCTGTGCGGAGGGGCAAGAAGCCACACCTGGCGCCCGGGGGCAGGGGCGGGGGCGGGCGGGGCCCCGGCTGTGAGTCACCAGGGGCGGATGTCCTCCCCCTCCAGGAGGAGTCCCAGCAGGTCTGCCCCCTCACCTCGCTGGCTCCCAAGGGCACCTGTCACACCATGGCTGCTCAATGGGGCTAATAGGGTCACCACCGGGGCAGAGTTTTGGGGACACGGTGAAGAGGTGACCCCTGTTTCCTCTCAGGACTGAGTCAGGATTGGGGGTCCGCGTGACTCCAAACTTGACTCCCTCTCGCAGCCCCG